GTTGCATGTTGTAGAAGACGGACGAGATGATCAAAGACACTACCGAGTTTGCGATAATCTGGGTAACGGTGATGCTAGGGTCGGCCTTTAATCGGACGAAGCCTCGCCATAAGCAAAGCTTGATTTGGTCCACATAAGTGAGCGTGTAAGGCGATGCCTCGCGTTGGCCTTTTGCCTTTTGAAGCTGGCGAGACTCTTTGAAGCGCTCACTAGCCTCACCACCAATGGGGTACTTTTGCTCATAGGCCTCGATGTCTCGAAGCAGGGCTGCTCGGTCAGGAGACTCGAGCCAGCGCTGTGCAAACTCATCGGGAGTGCGTGGGACGCGGTCCTCGAATCCTTGGCGGACAATGCGCTCCAAGGGGCTGGTCATGGATGTCAAGAAATCGGCGTCAGTCTGGCGGTCCGGGCAATGGAAGCCCATGTTTACAAAGTAAGACTTGGCTTCTGTCGTCCTGCCAAAGTAGATTTGACGTCCCTCATAGAGTACAAGGGCCTTGTCAAAAAGATCGTAGGCAGACTGAGGAGCCTGGTAAATGGCGACGCAGGCAGTGGTGCCATTAATCTCACTCTCCATGCGGAGGGTTTTGCAGAACTCGATGGCGTTTGCAGAATCAAGGCCTCTGGTTGAATTGTCCCATGCTTGTAATGGTGCTCGGCTGAGGGATGCTTCAGCAATAGTGACACGCTTGCGCTCTCCACCAGAGACACCACGGATAAAATCATTGCCAACACGTGTGTTGATGGTGTGAGAAATGCCGTACAAAGCCATGATGACGTCACGCTGGTGCTCAGCGTATGTTTGCACGCTGACGCCACCTGGGATGTGTCTTGGGCGACGAGCTTGAGCAGCAAAATAGAGTGTTTCTCCGACAGTCATCTGGGGGAAGTGAACGTCGACTTCGGCTGTGTAGATGGCCTCACCGCGGTAGTTCTTGTTCATGAGCTCTGGGCTGATGCCTGTTGGTTGTGAGCAAAAGAGAGAAGTGGTGGTAGAATTGAGCAGTTGCAAACCTACCTTGATAGTTGATCTTTGAGTTTTCGTCGACGAAGAAACCGTGTGTCTCGCCAGTAATGGTTTTCAAAAAGGTTGAGCAACCGGATCCAGGGGGTCCCAGCACAACCAGCATCTCACCCGCCTCTACCAGACCATCCAAGTTTCGTAGAATGTTGATTTTGCGACCCTTGTCGCCTCTAATTTTCTTGTAGAGGCTGACTCCTTCAAGCCAAATATTACCAACACTCTTTTGGAAATCTGCGTCGGTACCGAAACCATGGACGTTGAGGTCGCGGAAGGCGATACCAGCGGTTCGAATGGGTGGAGCGTTCTCATCTGAGAGTTGCAGGTTGAGCATGGCTTTTGTCCAGGCACGAGCGTTGAAGTTTTCTCCTTGGGGATCTAGAGCGGAGCCAGGGGCTGCGTTGAAAGGGTTTGCGTGTGACGAGGATTGCTGACTCTGGACAGTGAGGCGTCGAGCGAGTTGGTGGACTGCATCTTCTCTCCTGTTGGTCTCTGCGATTTCTTCGGCATCACGCATGTTGGTAGATGACTTCTTGTGGTCCGGATGATGGTTGCGAGTAGGTGAGCCCTCTCTGGCTGCTATGGTAGAAGCGTCTGATTCGGAAGTCTCATGATCCCGATCGTGGTCATGGTGTTGTTGTTGTTGTTGTTCACTCATAGTGGGCGAGGTGTCGCCACACAAGGGCCAAGGGTAGTGGATGAAAGGTTGTGAGCAGTGCACAGCTGAACAAAGGTATTAAAAAGAAGGTAGTAAGATAAGAGGAAGAGGCCCGGACGAGTGGTCGGAGACAACAAGGGGAGACATGTATGGTACTAGAGCTGGAGGAGCAGCTAATAAGGCTCCGCCCTTGTAAAGGATTCAGTCCACCGGGCTTGGGCCAACGTATGCACCGTATCGGAGCCGGACCACCAAGCCGTTTTGGGTGCAAGCGAGCATTCGCCATCCTGTCATCGGACCAATTAGATAGGCAGCTTTACGACAAACAATGTTTTCCCAATGTTACACAGTAGGCACCACCTGTGGTGCTCACTCCCTCGGACAAATTGCGCATGTGCCTGCATGTCATGCTTCCGACATGTTCGTGCGGCTCTGGTATTGCTGCCCCTGCCGTCCCCCTGCCGCGCCAGCGGAGGAATAATCGCACCATATTCGTATATACCCGCGTATACGTAATTATGTACTGTGTATGTTGACGACACGGATATCCGCTGCGAGAGGCCACTTTCCGCTACGATTTGTCCGGCTAGCGGTGTAGCACGATAGATTGCTATCGCATGGCCAAGCCCTTGCCGAACCTAAGGGGGGGAAAACAAAGCCTCCTCGCAACACCGTATACGGCGTATTACTTAAGCTGGTCGCGCCACAAGTGCATGTGCTGCTGCGGTGAGAGAAGAAGGCAGAGGCCCTTATCCACTTGGCATTCGCATTTTCATCGCCAGTGTCTTGGGCGGTTTGTAGTCGGAGTCGGAACCACACCGTCACGCAGGCATTCGTGCCGGACGAAATTTGGCAGCGATATCAGCCGGGGTGGGGTGGAGACGACAGCGATTCATGGAGGGAGTATGTCTAGGTCGGTGCAGAAAGTGCCGTTTCTGGGGTGGTTCCGGGTATACTACGCTAGTAGGGCGCCACGGAAGCGGATGTCGCTCGTCCCGGACCACACAGATGCCTTGCGCGTATGCTCGATGCGACCACCCTCGTCAGCCCCATCACGCTCCCGGCCAGCTGTTGACCTGCTTCCAGATGCAATCTGTTGTTCCATGGCCCTATGTATGTGCATCTTTCCCGGATATCTCAATACCGTATCCGCCGGACCAAACCAGCACCACCACTCCACTGCTTCGATGACTCGAGCACATACATATCTAGTACTATGTGTACAATGCCACAACTGGCACGGCACCGTCTGACACTGTACATAATCACATAGTGCCTCTCACCGCACCCCGTACACTATGTACTCCGCCCTACTGCTTACACACTATACTGGGAGTTACTAACATCTCGCCCCCACGACAGTGCAACATGTCACTGCTAGCCCGAGACATTGCTTTAGAGCTGACATAGGCCACCTAATTACATCCTTAAATACATAAATTCGACATCGTGCGACCTTGGTCAATCTGGGGGTATGCGACTACAAGTGAGTAGTGAGACAAAAAGAGCACATTTCCGCTCACAACACAACACCTCGGGGACAAGCCGTGTTTTTTGTAGACACACCCAACACCGTCAATGCGCAAGGCGATAAACACTAACAACCAGTCGATCCGGACGTTGGATAGGTTCTGCTGTCGAGTGTATTGCAACAACGCGCCCAAGGGGGCGTTGGATTGTATAGAACGGCTCTTCTTCGGTACCGGCAATCCTGCGACTCTTGGTTTTTGCGCGATACAGTGGGGTCTAGTAGTAAGTCGTAGCGCACTACTGGGAGCCTGACAACCGCAATGGACGCATTTGTATATCGTGAATTCGCGTATGCCCCATACCTAACCAAGTTCTATAACTATAAGTAAGCAAGAAAAAAGCCAACACTATCAGCAGCGCCAACGCATAGAAAGGATCTACATGCCATAGTAGTACAATCTTCCTAGCAAACATGATAGATCCCAAAAGTACTATTACTCGAGCAGCTAGGTTTCCGCCTAGCCCCGTTTTCACCATGCATCTGATGACGTCGAGCAGGAAAACCATGTCGCTGCAGATGAGTACGAAACCAAGCACGCACCTCTTGATGGACCAAAATATCCGGACAAAAAACCGCCCCACTAAAACACCCGCGTACAGTATGATCCTCCGCCTATGAAACATGATCTCCAACCGCCCAGCTTCCTCGCATCGAGTTCTGAAACTCTTGTTCTGGCTATTCTTACAGGAACAAAGCGTGACAAGAACAAGCAAAGAAAATACGAGACAGATAGCATCCGAGACAATCCGCTCCGAAGTGTCAGCCAGCTGCTGCTGCGTACAAGATTCCCGATATTGTACAACCTACCACAAAAAACAATACCTTGCCAAAACCGCAGGCGTTTGCGAAGGCATCAGTAGCGATGTATTTACCTTAGCACCCATGCAACGTCAATCGCCAAATACGTGGGGTATCCTGTGCCCACAAGGCTGAGTCAAAACTCTAACAGCAAAGGCTAATCTCACCCCTCCTCATCCTCCCACAGAATACTATTGGATTCATTTTATTCCCGCAAAAAAAAGACCCCCGCATCGTAAGCATTACCGATGACACCCCTCTTCTCACAGATTGACAACCACACCCACTTACCCCACCCAAAACAAGCAAAAAGCCCCGCATCATGAATACCAAAGTATATCCTATGCCTTCAATACCGTAACAATCTTTTCGCATCAAGCCCATCAGAATCACTACAAATTCTTCTCACAAATGAAAGAAGAAGAAAAAAACAGCATCCCACCCCAGATATGAAGGTAACAAACAAACCCTTTCTAGTGAACAAAAGTTTAACTCTGGTAAATCTTTGTTATTGGAATTTGAACCTTTTACTGCCCCCCCGCCTCTTTTGTAATAACGAATAAGAGGCCAGCAGCGTAGGAAATGTTAAAGAAGGCTTACGAATTAGGGGGCTTCATCTTAGAAACTAATTTAGAACCTCCCCAAAAAATAAATAAGATATAAATCGAGATGAAGTGAGGTGAAGTAGTTGTTTACCTGCGCGATAGAGTATGTACGTTTAGGAAGGAAGGAAGGAAGGGGGGGAAAAAGGTTTAGTAGTTTTGATGAATTCGTCTCGTTCGCATGAAGAAGCGATAGACAAAATGGTTTTGGCGGTGGATACTACCAGAATCCTACATACGCCTTGTAGATTATCCTTGAATCGTTATCGTTCCTTCTCTCGCGTGAAGTTCCATTGGTAGTTCTAGAGGGAAACCTGTCAGGATTGGCGGTGTGTTAACCGCCGCACAACGTTACGCATTGCTATTTAAACCGTTGTAGTGTCAAACTACGTATAGATCCATAGCAAGACGTGGGGAAAAAGAAAATGCATAGAAGAAAATGCATGGACATTGAATCTATCCTATAAAGAAGAAACAATCCATCTTTCATCTACTGAGAAATGGAGAGTGAGAGAGAGAACCATTGTCCCAGTTGCCCCCTATCCCCAACCTCTCACCGTTCCCAACCCTCACACTTTTCTTCTCTACCGAAGAAACAAAAACTTCTTCATCACCAAATCCTCTTAGCAACCATAGCATACCGACTAACATGCCCAAATCCCGTCCCCCTCTCCTTCTCCTCAGCCTCCTTCTTCCTCCCCTTCTCATCCCTCTCCCTCAGCCGTCTCAACCCCTCCGCATCATCCTCATAAATAACCTTCCTCTTCTCCTCATCCACATCGACAACCCCCCAACCCCCTATACGTTTCCCGCCCGTCTCCACACTCATCTTCTCGCGCTCCTGCATGCCGCGGTACCGGTTGCGACTGACAGATAGCAGGATCATGCCGAGGAGCAGCTTGAAGGCGAGGAAGAAGAGGTAGATGACGAGGAAGACGATGAGCATGGTTGAGGCGGCGATGAGGTCGTCAAGCGTGTAGGAGAGGGGGTGGTACCAGGGTTTTGAGGCGAGGCCTGCGCCGAACGAGGAGCGGCCTAGAGCGCGGCGGAAAACGTGGTCGATGTGCGCGAGGGCGGCTGTGGTGGCGGGTGAGGAGGACGTGGCGTCTTCTGAGGTGAGGGATGTGGTTGTTGCATGGAGAGGGGGTGGCATGTGCAGTGCGATGAACATGTGGTAGGTTTGTATTGCGGCGCGCACGAAGAGGCAGGAGAGAGGTATCACGGGGAGACCGAGTCGGCGGGTTAGGTCTGCGTCGGCGAATGCCTGGGTGTTGTTAGTCAATTTCCAGTATCGAAAGAAAACGGTAGAGCAAAGGTCTTACATTTGAATAATAATCTTTTGCTAGTACATCAAAGAACTTGCTGTACACCTCCGGCTTGTACTGGTTGAACTTTGTAATGTACGCATGTTTGAGCCAATCTACAAACATCTCACTGCCCAGTACCAGCAAGAACGGGTTGAGCACCTGAGCAATGTACTTGGGAAAGATGGTGAAGCTCATAGGAATGATGTTTGATGCCTTGAACGCCGTTCCAGTCGACGCGTTGGTAGAACCCGTAAACATGGCCGTCCATGATGTTTCGCTGCTTTGAATACTGAGACCACCGACTTCGACTACATTACGCATGGCAATAATCAGGAGCATGAGCCACAACTGAAAGCGTTCGACAATGTCTGCGCAGGTAATCTGAAAAAGGTTCTCTTTTTCAAACTTTTTGAATACCGTACTCTTAATTTCCACAAACTGATTCGACATGAGCAGTGTGAGTAGAGCATTCGAGTACGAATTCACAGCTACATTCAGTGTGATAACTTGATAGAAGAGTGCAGTAGCATGCGCCACTGTGTACACAAGGGCAAGTGAGAACATGCCAAGTGGACGAAGCACTTTGCTTCTGCCATCGGGATTGCGATCAAGCGTTTCGCGGGAAAAGAGGCATTCGAGGACGTCCTGGCCCATCGCAGACAACAAGCGGTCACAGACCTCGAGAACGTTATAGATGACATAGAGCTTGATGGCCGACTGTCCCCGAATGCCATGGTACATCCGGCTCGCATCGAAACGCATCAAAACAAAACAACTTGCAATGACCAGTAAGCCTTTGAGTATATCTGCCTTGTGACTAGGCTGGAGTGTAGATGGTGTTGACTTTGTGCGGCGATGACGAAATCGTGAGTTTCGAGGTCGTCGCGCTTTGAGCTCTTTGAGTTCTTTTAGGTCTGGAAACTGGAAGCTCGTTGACGCCCGAGGATCCTGCCTGGCTGTCGAGGTAGCAGATGGCCTCCGCGACATGGATGGTGGTTCCTCTTCAGCTGGAGTAGCAAGAGGTGTGGGCCCGTCCACATGCTTTCTCCGTTGCCACAGACGGGGTAGACCATTGTAAACGAAGGCCCAGAGATCACGGAATTCTTTGACAATAACTGAGCCCCACCATTTGATCAAGATGGCAATGGCAAGAAGGAAGCGTAGTGGGAGGATGGTCAAGACGTGCATCCAAGCATCCAAGCAAGCAAAGGCCCCGAACCCTAGGATAATTTCAATCTTCAAGGGTATCCTTAAGAAATTGAGCAAGCGCTCGTATTTGATCTCGGAAGATTCATAAGGAAACTCAGTGGTAGCAGGTCTATAAATGTACAGCGGAGAGGGACGGGTCGCAGAGAGCTCAAGTGAGAGGAAGGTAGGCATTGACATTGGCGGCAATGGGAGAGCAATTGCGGTTGGTGATACGTGGTCACGCACATCGCGAGGCTCCCTGTGTCGTTCGTGGCCTTTGGATGTGGCCTCCTTGTGCGGCATGTCTAGCGGTGGCGGCACATGTCGACCTTGCCTCCGTTCCTCTCCTTCTTTCGTGTGGTTGTGTGCTCGCGACCGTGATCTTGAAGTGGTTCTTCGCACGAGCGCAGGTGTGGTAATGGACCGTGACAGAGGCATCGGCCGGCCATTGCGCAACTCGGTAGAAGGGGTCTTGATGACAAGTGTCTCTTTCTCTTGGGTCAGCTCCCGACCTCGCGAGCCGTATTCCTTGCTGCCATCGTGCTTTGTGCCATTGAATTCTACAGGCCGGTCCAGGACCGAGCCCCGTGGCTTGTTGTTGCCCTGATCATCCATGTTCTCTAGTGGTGTTGCGTCCTCGAGCTCGTCCTCGAGAATTGGCGTCGCTGCCCGCACAGGAATACTCGAAGGCTCACTGGTGAGCTCATGAATCTGGCGGGGGCTGAGCTTCAGCATCTTGTCGTGGTCCGATACACTGCTCTTTCTCCGCCCATCTCCAGGACGCTTGATGGGTCGGATTTTCTCGTTGGTGTCGGACTGTATAGCCTCTTCATGAACACTGGGTCTCCTACTTGTCGCACGCGAACCGATAGCGCTGTTCGTCTCCTCCTTGGCGCCATTCGTTGTGTTCAGCAACATCTCTTCGTTCTTCGCTTCTTCATAGTTGCGGCGATCGATCGGAGGTGCCACATCGTCTGCTTCTGGTTCGGGTGACGGCGTGGGTGTCGGCAGCAGCTGTTCCCTCGTGTTCAATTCACCGTGTGTCCGTGTGTCTGCTCCGTTCATGGCGCATAGAGCTGGCGTCTCTTTGCAAGTGCATCGTGTCCTATCGGTGGTGACGTTGGGGTGTACCAACGTTCCAGAGCTCGGGCATGGGGCTTAGCGTACCTGCCGAACCGAGGAACCCCAGATCATCCCATTGCATTCACACTCTGAATGCTATGGAATAGTTTAGCAGCAAGTCACATGGTGATGTCTGTATCACTGATAGTCGTTGACTCAAAGGTCGGACTGTGCAAATTCATTTTCTGTCGTGTTTAGCAAGACATTATTACCCTAGGAACGGAACGCTCCGTGTAAAAAGGAACAGCATTTATTTCAAAACTCGATTGATACTGTGCTACATACGTGTACATAGGTTAAGCCAAAACTTACAAAGAAAAATCAACAAACGGAACTGTCGTGCCGAACCTTTCAATTCAATGCCCAGCTTTTTATACGGGCTGCGGATACCAGTGAGTCGGATATCCGCACCCTCGACACGAGGCTCTGAGAAAAAAAAAGGTACGCCAACACCCTCTTGGATTCAGAGCTCCCTTTCGAGTTTAGGGCTGCTCGCAAGACACATGTATGCCTTGGCTATGAACTGTCCGACAACGGCGACTTCAACCGCGTTTTCTTTTCTTTTTATTCTTTGGGATGACTCTTCCCCGTCTTTTTCAACCGGGAAAAGCAAGAAAAGCATATGAGGTCTGGTGATCCGGCTTGAAACTCTCACCGATGAAGGTAGGTATTGGTCCTTTGAGTGGTGGAATCTGTAGAAAAGGGTGGCATAGTCCTTAGCACTGCAACTCATGCAATGCAGACCAGGATACATTTGTATTGAAGTTCGCTTGCAAAGAACAAGGAGAAGGAATCCAAGACTTGGGAAAGCGCAATTGTTACTATTTTTGCGGTGTGAGTAAGAAAGGGACACGGTTGTGATCTACCGAGCACGGTTGGTGTTTTGATCGTCTATCCTCCTTCCATCTACACAAACTATTCCGTATGGAAAGATGTCCCCTCTCGCCTCGCGTTGAGATCGACAGAGTATGTAAGCACTACGACATCCAACATTCCTGAACATGCGCACCTTTAGTTTGCAAAAGATACGACAGATGCCCAACTACACACCTGCCCGGGATCCCTGACAAAAGCGGGCAATCGTCCGCGCATAAACCCCCTTGCCATGGCGTATGCTCGACGCATACCATTGTAACACCAACACGACAGAGATTCACACCGCTACAACCATTTCCCAGATATTAGCGTGGGGGCCGACCTTCCAATGGGACAATGCATGTGCAATAAGTTGCTTTCTCGTGGCACACAAGGATTGCAATCCTGTTGTGTTTTGCGCGGAACTCGTGTCGTGCTGGGATAATCCGACCCTAAGCTTACGTGCATGAGGAAACAGGGCGGGAATATGCGGTGGAATCCGTATTGGGGACAAGGTCTCACGTGGATCGTCGCTGTGCCAAGCGGGAACGAGGGCATCTTACTTGCTGTACTTGACTACTAATGATATCGGCTGCTAGCTTCCGTTTCAGCTGTTGCAGCCACAGGGGACGGGCTGAACGAGAACATCTGTTGTGTATATACGTGCAAAGGGTCTCTTCCGACGAAGCCGCTACTTTTTGATCTGGGGCATCCGGGCCTTGAGGGCTAGGCTCTCGCGTATAGATTAAAGCTTGGGTGGGTGTGTATCGTTCCGACGAAGCTACGTAGCTTGTGGACTGCAGGGTGGGGCCTAGACCCGGGGTTTTAGCGACGGGCGTCTGGGCTGAGAGAGAAGGTCTCAGGATGCAGATAGAGGCGTTAACGGCGTATGGTGGACCATTGATTTGCCGTCACATGCTAGTTGGTAAGACATTGTGTAATATCAGAGCAAGGCTGTATGTCTGCAAGCTGCATGTGAAGCAAGAGTCAAAACCAATCAAGATTGCAGCTGACGGCCAAGGATTACCAACGTCGCGCTGTTGCAGACTGGGGATTGAGATGTCAAGTGATGCACGTTGCAAAGGGGGTTTGATGGAAACTTTACTGGGGCCAGCCGCGCGGAGAGCTCGTTTGAGCCAACGAACGCTCGCATGTAGTAGCAAGGTTGAAAACCAGACGACCGGGTCGAAGCGATCCACGGCGACCAGGCATCACAGCACTGCGAGAATGGTTACAATGTGTGGCTTGTGGCAGCGGCCTCAACCGCGAAGAGCTGGGAACGGGCATGTGCTTGGTGGGTGGCTGATTACTTGCAAAAGAGTTGGTTTATAACGCACAGGCTGTGGCGCAATTGAGTATAGGGGGCGTTGGAATGGTGGGTTTAGTGAAACGAATCGTGGGCCACGACATATGGTTAGACTTTTTTTCAGAAGACAAAGTGCTGTTAGGGCCGATCTTTATCATTTTCAAAAATCGGCAATACGAGGCAGCGCACGCAGGGCAGACAGAAGAGGGAATGAGCTTATGCACATGACTGCATACATCAGGTCGTACCGATGTCTACAGTACGTACGCAGGTATGTACGTGTGTAACCAAGCAGGTGAAAGGGGGAAGTCTTCTAGAAGGTGTCAGATGGCCGACTAGGGTTTGGTTGGGCGGGGCGCGAATGGGACGTGTGGCACGAACAAAGCACAAAACGAACGGGCTGCACAAGGTGTCTCTGGTCGGGGCTTGCGGCAGGCTGCGTGAAGAGCTGTGGTGCTACTGGCGATTGCGCTTGATTAGCCGGAAGGGGCAAGAACAGAGGCAGGCAGGTAATATGGTTTGGAGCGGATATATGGAACCGAAAGAGTTGGGGGCAAGGTTTTGGCAGTCGTATACTAGAAATGTGTAGTGTAGGGCGGTGGCGACTTTTGCAGATGGTATACCTAGCAGTGCGGATGTGGGCTCAAAGGGCCAGGGCCAGTGCCACAAGCTAGCGCAGGTCCTTGCGGAGAAGGCGTCGGAGGCAAGGCGAGCCAAGCCAACATGTTCTGGAGCGTGGGAAGCTTAACGAGACACGTTTTTCTTATGTACGCCTCTCTGGCTGTTGTCAAGAGAGAACAGATGGTCGGCAGGGCGCCAGAAAGGGGCGCCATGGAAGCTATTTTGTGCACAATGTTCCGATGCAGCCGTACTTGGCCAAGAGCTTGCGGAGACGCCGTGACGGGTGGTGAGCTGACGGTTCGGTAGGGTGGGAGTATGTGAGTACTTAGCACTTGGATACGGGTGCTGGCAGCAGAAGGCGGATGGAACACGTTTGGAAGCTTTTACAGAGACCCAATCGGGCGTTGCTCCACTCAGCCGTGGGTGGGTCGTCAAAGCGACCGGGTTAGGAGAGAGGGCAATATCGGCGAGACTTGCCGCTCGTTACAGGTAGGCCTATGGGGGCCAGCACCGGAGTTTGCACGTCGGTAGGGCAGAGCTAGGTGTACTCTAGAGTAGGTAACTAGATGGGCTGTCTGCCAATGGATGGCACGTCCATGTGCGAGTGCGAGGACATGTCCTGTTGGTGTGGCGTGTTGTGTCGTGTCGAGGGGATGAAGAGGCGTAGGACGTGCATGTATGCATACGTGGATGCTATACTACTGTACCGAGGGGGATATGTGACATGTGTCGTGGTAGAACGTGTAGGTCCATAAGCGCATGCAGATCGGACGGGAAAGCAGCACGCAGCACGTCGTGTATGCCGTTATCGTGGATGCAAAGTGAAAGGGGTGATGCTGGGAGCCAGTCCCGTGACGTACTAGGGGGTGTTTGTATTCACTGGCTTGGCACGACCCGGGCACTGGATCCACCAGTGTTTCTCCCCCGGCGTTGGGCGCAGCGGGCAGGATGGATATGGAGATGGCATATGTGTATACTTACATCCAAGTACGTACACCGCCATGACGCAGTATCCCCGTTTATATTGTTGCTGTATCGTCATCGTCATCGTTGTTGTTGTTGTTGTCGCGCAGGCCACCAGGCATAGATAGATTGTAGAAGCGTGGGTGTGGGCGTGGGCGTGTGTGTACATACTACACTATGTAGGCAGTAATGTGGGTTCGCTCTGCTGTGGCTGGCCATGACTAGGGGAGCAGCAGCCGCGCTTGCCCTTTCTGCGGGCAAGGATGCGACTCAAAACGTGCAACCCATGCCTGTGCTCTTGCCCTAGTCCTGCCGACACTAATCTTGCTTGGGCCACGACCTGCGAAACGTGCGCCTGCAAACCCGTCGGGCCTCCTTTCAACTTCTTGTTCATTATCGCTGCGACTCGCCCTTCGACCGCCTGTTGCTGTTGCTTGTGTCTTAATAATCTCCACCTGAGCCCTCGCCCGCGGACCTTGCTTGCTTGCACTGCTCCCCCGTGCTTGCCGACTGCATCCCTCACTCCCACCCCCGCCTAGTCTCCCTCCCACCCCACTGCGACGCCGCTCCAGTCAGCCTGGACTATCCTATCAACCGCCTGATGCATCTCTAGACATCCACTGCATCTGCCTGTCCGCCTGTCTCTTTGCCATTGTAGCCCCTCATGGGTCAGAACAACGGCAAGCCCGTCGTCTTCACCGACCAAGGTGCGTGATCACCACCATTCCCGCATGTGCTGCGCCAGAGAGAGTGCGAGAGAGAGATGGAGGTGTGTGGAAAGATGTGAACACAAAAGACGAGCAAAAAAAGAAACAAACAAACAAGGAACCAACGCGGGGGATATCCATCTAAAGCACGCGAAACTCGCACTCCCACACGCACATGCACTCCCACACACATACACGGCTCGTCCAAGTCCCGACTGACCTCTCCTGCAGTGAACCTCAACCACTTCCGCCTGCTGCGCGTTGTGGGCAAAGGCGCATTCGGTAAGGTGCGCATCGTTGAGCGCAAAGATACGGGGCTCACATTTGCGCTCAAGTACATACGCAAAGATGAAGGTGTGTACATGCCATCACACGCTAGCTGCTATCTAGCCATGCTGACCTCGTGTCACAGTCGTACGGTCGGAAAGCGTCCGCAACATCATCCGAGAGCGCCGTATGCTTGAGCATCTCAATCACCCATTCCTTTGCAATCTACGCTATAGCTTCCAGGACATTGAATACCTGTATGGCCAATGTCATCGCTCCTGCCTCCACCAACCCAGGCTAACAAGGATAGATACATTGTCGTGGACCTAATGAACGGTGGCGATCTGCGATTCCACATTTCGCGAAAGACGTTTACAGAAGAAGCTGTGCGCTTCTGGATAGCAGAGCTTGGTTGCGCTGTGCGCTACATACACCAGCAGGGCATTGTGCACAGAGATATCAAGCCAGACAATGTGCTATTAGACTCTGAGGGACATGTCCATCTCGCAGATTTCGTAAGCTCGGCTGCAATGCGCCTCACCATTCGTCTTTGCTGACACGTGCAGAACGTTGCCTCTGATTTTGTACCACACAAGCCGCTGACGAGCAAATCGGGCACACTCGCCTATCTCGCCCCCGAAGTATATGAAGGCAAAGGCTACTCATGCGAAGTCGACTGGTGGTCACTGGGTGTGCTCTTCTACGAGTGCATATACAACAAGCGACCATTTGAAGCCAGCAGCCACGACTCTCTCGCCGCCAAAATCTCAAAGGGAGAACCCACCTATCCCGTCACGAGCCCGCCCGTCTCTATGCCGTGCTTGCATGCCATCAGCTCCCTGTTGGAAAAGGACCGAAGCAGACGCATTGGCGCCATTGGATTTGATTCGTTCACTGATAATCCTTTCTTTCGGCCCATAGATTTTTATGCACTCGAACACAAGGAGATTGAGCCAATCTTCATACCTTCGAGTGATAAGACCAACTTTGATGCGACGTACGATCTTGAGGAGTTGCTGCTTGAAGAAGCGCCGCTTGAGGCCCGTGCCCGCCGGCAGAAGCCAAGAGAAGCTCTCAAGGAAGATGCTACCGAGCAGGAGATACGCGCCGACGAGCTACACAGGATGATTGAGACGCTGTTTGAGCCTTTCAACTACACCACAGCTGGCGATCAACGGACTCCTGCCGCTGTAGCAGTCGCTGACCCCCAAGACTCTGGCGCTGGCTCACGAACCAGCAACCACAGCCAGCCCGACCACAACCCCACCTCTGCTCCATCTCATGGTGACTCTTCTGGACGTCACTATGCCAACTCCAAGTCTCAAGATACCGACCTCCACCCCACCCGTTCCACTACCACCGCACGATCGACACAATCACCAAACGGCAGTCCACCTCTGCCGACGAGCGTACTGCAGCACACTGCCAACAACAGCTCACCCACGTCGCAACGTGGTGAGCATGTTGATTACTTCCCTCACGACGGCTCCGAAGTCCCAACCCCCTCGTTCTCCCGCCCTATGAACAGCCGCCAGCGAGGCTCCCAACGCAGCACAAGCATGGGCGGAGGTGTACAGGTAGTTCTCAATGAGACTGGTTCATGGACCGAGATGGCTAACCAGAGCTCCGCGCTTGTACAGAACGCCCAAACTGAGAAACCATCCGGCATGCTCGGATTCCTCAGTCGCAAGAAAGGCCGGGACAGGAGTCCCAAGGCCAAAGAGAGGGGTGTTCTGGGTAAAGAAGGTGCGCGAGTCATCATCAGCAATACCTGAACAACCTCACTCTTTGTTTGTTTTGCACGCATCACACTACCGGCTCTCTCAATCTCTTTCCCCAACCGTTGGACGAGTCTCCTTGCGTCATTCTCATCATCTCTTTCGATTCACGTCAATGTTTTATTTGGCGGGCGCAGCATGCTGGCGTCTTCCCTGGGGCATGCCCTTTTTGGCATGCTCATTCTCTCTCATCAAACGACCTTTTGCGACGCCCTAGGCCCTTTTATATACGCGGCCCCTCCTCCTCTCTTAACTTTTTTATTGCATCGGCATTTTGCATATTTCCCACCCGACCCATCCACCTTTTTTCCCGGAGACTGGAGAGGAATAAAAGGTGTGCGATATCTGGGCGTTGTAGGCTTATACTGATTTGCCAAGACGCTGTTTTCCCTCCCTACCTGTTTTTCTTCTTACATTCACACGGAAGTTCGAGATGAAGAGGAAGAGGAAAAAATGGGAAGAAACAAAGCAAGCAAATTGCTTAAGAAGCTATATGTTATTTCTCGACCCCGCGATTTTTGAGACGAAAGAAACGGCAGATATAGATTAGGGGGTGATGGTGGTTGGTGATTGGCGATGGAAGTAAAATGTCAGGTCAAACCAGCCTTAACTGGACTTACTCGGTACCTACGACAAACCCAACATTACTACCACCATCTCGCCGCCCCTGTAATTTTTTTTCCTTTTCTGATTCCGCTGGACGCATATCAGCGTAATAGAAGTTAATTACGCTATGGAAGGCACACGATGTACGCGCTCATGTCTGGGGAGGTTTGTCTATTTTATCTGTTTTCTTTTTGAATCGGCTTGTTGGGCTGAGAGAGGGAGAGAGAGGAGATCCCACAACTATACGATGACTCTTTCTCTGAGAGGGGGAGGATGGGAATGCGGCACATGTATGGGATGAGAGGATATGGAAGTACAGAGTATGGCTGTGGGAAAGAGGGAGAGTCAATAAGAAAGCTGAAGGAAAGAGGACGAGACTGGGCAGAAGTCTGGATTACATAACTTTGCAAATACCCATGTTTTTTTTCTACCTCTGTTCTTCTTGTCTCTGATTGTTATTATCGTTTTTTATCAGCTAGACATCTTTGGAATTGGGATTGTTTTGTTGTTACAGTTCCCCACGGGTACATGTACATAAGGCGTTCATTCGACAGCAGGACGTGATAAAAACACATGCCAGCCAAACTATAGAGTTGGAAAAGGAAAATAGAGATTGGGAGAAGAAAGTGGATATTTCGGGTATCGAGTGTAATATAACGCCATCTTTTATCTTCATCGGCCCCCCCCCTCCCCTCTCCATGTGGTCTCGGCGAAACTTACCTTCTTGACAAAACCAAGGAAGTAGAAAATAAAATAAAGGAAGGAATTGAAACACAGGCCCAGAATAACAACATCAACATCAACCATACCAACAATGATGCCCCACATACACAAAACACTCGCTCGCGAATTCAATTTCACCTCGGCTTAATACTCGACCTAGCAAGCCACAAAGCAACACTCTCCTTCGCAACATCACTACCCCAAACCCCATCCGCACCACCCCGCCGCCACTCCTCGCCCGAAGCATCCTCGCCACCTCCACGCGTAGCCTCTCCAAGCAGCACCTCGAGATCGCGCTTCTGACTCGAGAGCCAGCGCTTGAAGAAGGCAACGGGGTCCTTTGACATACTGGTGAAGAAGGCGTGTTTAGCTTTAGACTGGCCAATTGCACCCATGAGCAGCACGAGCTGCTCGTCGATTTTTTGAATTTCTTGGAGCGTCTGAATGCTATCTGGGCGGCGGAGGATGTCTTGGAAGAGGGGTTGCATGGGGTCTTCGAGGGCAACCTGGACGTCGTATACGCTGGGCTGGGATGCCGGCTTACCCGAGTCGGCGGGAGGAGAAATGTAGTCCTTGTCGACGCGGATCGTGTATTGGAGCTGGATGGGCGGGAGGGTTGTAAGGTGTGGCTTGATGAGCTGGGGTAGGTTGGGGAAGAAGAAGTGGTCCTGGCCGCCAAAGAGCGCTTTCAATCTAGCGTCGCAGGCAAACTTGCGCTCGTCATCTTCTTGCTGGAGGTGCTGCGACCTTGCGTACTCCCAGATGCCCATCAGCACGCCCGCACGGTCCTCCTCATCGGTGTCGAGCAGCTCGGCTAGCGGTTTGCTGAGGCGGAAAACCTCGGGGTTTTGGTACCGCTGGAGGTTGATTGTGATGTTGATGTTCTCGTCGCCCTTGCGCTCAAACTCGAGCTCGCTGAAATTGGCTTCCTTGGCTGTCGGATTCTCGGGTCGCTTCCACTCGATCTGCGTAAAGTTGTCGGGTTGTAAACTCTTGGCGCGGTCAAAGTCGATGTTGATGGATGTGAAGTAGTGCGAGAAGAGCTTGGGTTTCGCGGCGGGCTTGCGCTCGGCCTGGGTGCCGTCTTCGTCCCTAGTCGCTTGTTAGTCCCAATCCCCATGAATATTTTTTGCGCGCCGCTTCAGAGGCGCAAAAGGTGCATGCAGAGCCGAAGTCGCAAGCTCGGATTGACATACATGGCATCGGCATCCTTGTCTTCGTCCTCATCATCCTCTAGACCGTCGTCGCCTTGCTCGTCAAGGAGGCGTCCTTGGATCTTGACGCGGTACGTGGCGTTATTCTCGCTCTCGAAGTCAAAAGCATCGGCGTCGATGCCGCTGCTCTGCCAAGGCTGGTTTTCGGCCGTGTTGGATATCCATATGCGCATGGTTCCATAGCGCGACGCTCGCGAGTGGTGCTTCGAATCCATGACATCGAGCTTCTTGCGCATCATGGTCGCGTCGAGTGTGCGCTCAACTTGGCGCAATTCCTTGTACCGGGCGACACCGTCGCCGATGCACACGTCCTCAACGCCCTCGGGGATGTTCTTGTCGGTAGGGTTCTTTGCGATGCGGCGCATCTTCTCGCGGCGCTCTGCTTCGGCGCGCTGCGAAGCCTGCATGCTGGCGCTGGTGTTGTACTGGGGCTGCTGGGGCGGGTGCTGGGGGTGGACAATGGGGCCTGGGTTGCGAAACAAGTGAGCGAGGTCGTTCCTGCTAATCATCGTATTGTACGGCTTCGGGGCGCAAGGGCAGGGACAGGCGGTGGGGGTAATGGGGATGTCGTGTGGCAGCGGTAGTGGGCACTCTGGGACTTACCTGGCCGGCGTGAGGGCGTAGCTGCATTGTGCTGTTGCGGATAATTATATCCCCGTGCCTGGTAGTTCGGCTGCATGTTAGAAAGAGGATGTAAAAAATGGACGGCAGCAAAATTGGCGATGCGGGCGCGTCAGTGGAGATGGAAGGGTGATAGGGATGGTCACGTCTTTGGAGACGCGTCAAGGTTGGTTTGGGGACGTTAACACATGCTGCACGGATACCACCGCCATTAGCTCCCCCTATGGACATGCGGGGCAACCATTCCCCCCCGCCCAGCCAGAGAGGCGCCCCCCGACCTTGTGCATTTGTTCCTTTTCAGCCTGGTTCAGCCCGAGTGCAATTGTTTACAGGACGTCTGCAGCTGGGCCTCGCATAGTCTGCTTTGCTGCCACGGGACGTCGTCTTCATTCACTGCCCGTGCATTGTGCTTGGCGGCCCATACGTCTGCGTGGTGAAGCCGTGGGAAGCATGCTCTGGGTCCGTCTGGACATCATCGTATTGGCTTTCTACATCTCATCGGTCTAAAGTCTACCGAACCCAGTCCACCTGTTCGGATACCCCCTTGGGTGAGCAGACAGTAAAGATGCACACACAGAAAGTGGGCAGCCCACTGAACAAGATCATCAATGTTCGCATACCAAATAAGCCGCCATCATCCCTCTGGGACATTACTATCCAAGACGGCAGGATTGCCTCTGTAGATGGTCACAATGATGCTTCGTCGCACGAAGAAAGCGAAAACACTCTGGACGGACAAAACCGCCTGCTCGCGCCATCGCTGTGCCATGCCCACATCCATCTCGACAAATGCTTTCTCCTCCAAGACCCCAAGTTCAGCGACCTGCAGATTGAGAGTGGCGACTTCAACGAGGCCATGAGCATCACTGGCCAAGCCAAGTCTCGGTTCGCCGAAGATGATCTGCTCAGGAGGGGCACGCGGCTCATCGAGGAGAGCATCCAGCACGGTGTTACCGCCATGCGGGCATTTGTAGAAATCGACGGCATTGTGGAACTGAAGTGTCTGGACGCAGGCCTGAAGCTGAAAGAGCTTTTCCAAGATCGGTGTGAGGTGCAGGTATGCGCATTCGCTCAGCTGCCACTGTTTTCTGGTCAAGATGAAGGTGCACAAGTAAGGAAACTGATGACGACTGCCGCCTCTTATGATAAAGTAGACGTGCTTGGCAGCACACCGTATGTTGAGGACAACGAGCGCAAATCTATAGAAAATGTGCGATGGATCACTCAGTTGGCCCTTCAGCATGACAAACACCTAGACCTTCACCTTGACTACTTCCTCGAAGAAGAAAAGCAACCACTCGTCTGGACTGCCTTGGATATCATCAGAGAGCTCAAATGGGATAAGAAGGACAACAGTAAACAGATAGCGCTGGGACATTGTACCCGGTTGACAAGGTTCCGGAACGACGAGTGGACGCACCTGAGACAAGAAGTGGACAAGTTGCCCATCTCTTTTGTTGGCCTTCCCACCTCCGACCTATTTATGATGAGGACCCCAGAGAACATACGTGGGACGTTGCCCATCACAGAGCTCATCAATGAACATGGCTTCAACGCTGCCATTGCTATCAACAACGTGGGAAACGCCTTCACTCCCTATGGTAACTGCGATCCTTTGGTAAGAACATAGCCTTATAGTGGTGTAGAAACCCAACACTGATCCCTTCTTTCAGGCTGTCGCATCGATTGGGGTTGGAGTCTATCAGGCTGGGACAAAGAAAGATGCCGAGCTGCTATATGTAAGTAACCTGGGGATCTACCTGCAGCTTGCCACTGATCATTTCCACGTATGCAGGAAACCGTTTCTACCCGTGCAAAGACTGCAATTGGGTGTGAAGCCACGGATCTGACTTTACAGCCCGGACAGCCTGCCGATTTTCTCATGTTTGATAGAATGGAAAACGGCTGGCACTACAGGAAAAGCATTGCAGATGTTGTTTACGATGCTGGACATGCTCGTCAGACAGTCTACAGGGGTCGTTTGACCGCCTCTCAAGGTTGATTACAAGTCTTCCGCCCCGCTACTACAATACAACAAATCAACAGCCTCTTTCGTTTCACGCTCACTTTGGTCGAGCTGTAAATGACGCTACAGTATGAAAAACTTGAGTACTGCAGCTGTTTGCCCCAAGACCCCTTTCCTTTTTGGGAACTGGGCATCAGATGTAGCGCCTTCCTCTTACTCGTCGTGACTGCCTTTTGTCATGCAGTGGGGCCAATCGTGTCACACACTGTACAAACAATCTACTTCATCTGCAAGTGTCCGCCTACAAACGAAACATCAAGTGGAATCACCGCCACTCTGTGGTGGAAAGCGGTGTGCATGAGGGCTCACGTGTAATTCGCCTTCACTTCACCAGAACGTGCCTTCCACTCCCGGACTTACCGCTTCAGGTACTGAGCATCAACGATAAAAGCTAGTCCAACCAACCCACACAAATACAAGTCGGACTCAAAACAACTCGACCAGCGCGTTACGACCATCGGTGCGTAATTGCAGTACCCAGTCAGGCCAACATGAAGACCTCACCAGAGCACGAAGCTTATCGCTCTGCACCTCAACCACCGAGCCAGGAAAATTCAGAGCACCAGATTCCGAAAAGCGATGTGCGAGGGCAATCTCACGCTCCTTATCAATCACCAGCTATCAGACAACTTGTCAGCATATTCCTAGACAACGTTAAGGTAAGTCATTGCTATAAGCAGATATCCATCAACCTCAGTACCTCTCTGACTGTAAACTTGACTAATCGTTGCAGTCCCGATTTGGACAAGACTCGCCCGAAGTCATAACAATTTGGAACATCCTCGGTGCATTTCGAGCTGGGAGGGAATCGAAGAAAGACACCATCATCACCATCAACCACGCACTGGGCCACCACCAAGATCTCAAGCAAGATCTCATGAAAGTACTGTACCACCCCGAAGCCAAATGGCAGACAGGCGATTTTGAGTTTGAGCCTCATCGGCCCATGCACTCACCTACTCCTAACTTCTTACAACCGGTTCATCAACCCCAGATCCGCTTGCCGCCAATCTCCTGGTTCGAAAGGAGACAGACCTATCCGTCAACTGGCTCTAGTCATGAGCGAAACTGGTCTCCCATCGCACCCAAACTGCAGGTCAATCATACAAAATCTCCATTGGTCCCTTGCTCTGGGATTCCCGCTCGTCTCCACCGAAGCCATACGCCTCAAGCAGGGTCTTTGGAGACTGTGTCATCCGAGACAACTAGACTTCCTGTTATCGGTGTTCCAGTGGCAGTTGATGTTGGTCAGGCGGTCAACGATATGCCGCCGCCTTCGAACAAGCGTCGCCGCGAAGCTTTTGAAGAACAAGCTTTGCAAGAGGCGGCAGACCGAGCGAGCTCTGACACCGCTGACGAGGTCCGCTTGTCAACCGCAGATATGGATCAACCGGTCGCTAAGCGCCTGTCCGAGAACACTTCCAAAGCAAAGCAGGCACAAGCTGAGAGCGGAACGAAACCATACATTCATAGTCTATGCGGGAGAGGTTTCTCAACCAGATCAAAAGTCAAGAAACATCATTGGGGAAATGTGCTTAATGATCTGGAGACGACTACAGGTTGTTGGGCGAAGCACGGAAAGCCGAATGTCAGCTGGAACGAGCATCCGAGCTGTGCGGAAGGGGTGAAAGTACCTGGTCATGCGAAGACAACACCGGCGGTGATGGGAAAAGACAAGCCTCGAGCAACGCCTCACATGATGGCTTCCATGATGCACGCCCCCGATGAACCGCTTGAAACTGCTGCGCGTTCTGCTGATCTTCACGAAGATTATCAAGAAGCTTCTAAAGACCCTGGACTGTACCACTCCCACCGGCTACCTAACCGATCCAGTTTCGACACTCTATTGAGTGCAGTGAACGCTGCTTCTGAAATGGATGCACTGAACCCACAGGGACGTATCGACTCTGTCGTTAATCATATCGGTGGGCAGGCTGCTGCCGTCGAAGATACGAGGCAGTACGTAGTGAACTGGCAAAACACAGTGTGGGGCCACGAAGAAGAAGCGGCGGCTAGTGGATACCCGCACCCATATACTACGCTCCAACTCAGTATGATGTGTCCGTTGAGGGAATACCATGTGCCTGTAGAGGTTGCTCTGCCCTTTTGCGGAAGGCCTCAGTCGCATACTCCGCAGATGTACCCATGTACTGCAGGAAACTGGATCGACGATCAGGTATCCATGCTGGAGGGTGCATACAGCAGCCCCGCGCCCCTGGAGCCACAGTGCCCTGACCCGTACGCAGGGAGCCGACCAATGTAGAGCGCTTGACCGTCACCGGGGATCTGGGCATGTACTATGTGAAAGGGCCGACATGTATGAACCGATTTGTTTCCGGGTCACCGGTCCCACAGATGAGACTAGTGCACGACTACAGATGGATGTACATCAGGGAGTTTGTTGCTTATGTACTGCCATGGCATGTGGTAGGCGGCGTGACTAATTCTACTTTTGGAAATGACTACAGTATTACAGGGAGGATCTGGGGCCGAACTTGTAAACTTAGGGAGTATTACAACAATACCAAGTCAAACAATCTCAGTCTGGTTCCGATGCCACAATATGAAGATGTGTATGCTTGGATGCAAGAGCTGCTGGGCGGTGGTGGTGGTGGTGGTGGTGGTGGTGATGCTGCGGCATTGTTCCTGTTTGTAGTATGTCATCCCGCCGTTGAGTACTAACCGTGTAGCGTGATCAAGCTTCTGGGTAGCCGGGTAAGTAGTAAACTCAACGACATGGGGCGCCACAAGGGCTGGGGCCCCAACAATTCCCCACAAAATTAACCCAGCTCTCCCCATGTTCCGCTTCCTGTCAAGATGCACGCGTCTAAGTTTTTCCGCAACTGTCCACCAATGGTGACTTTTGCCGGTGCCTTTTGTGCTGCTGATCCTTGTACATGAGAGATTATACAGAAGCGGTTTTTGGAGCTATGACGCTCGCGGCTCGCAGCTCGCAGCAAAACAATAGAGCTACACACGACGCGCCCCTGGGGACACCACGCAAATGTGCAGCAATTGAGGGCTACGCTGACGTAAGAGGACAATTCTCAGGGTACAATGAGCCTGAGAAGGAAGCGTGTGAAGAAATTCCAATGCTGTGCAACTTGATCTCGTCATAGTATGTCGGGGACCTGGAGACCTGCCACGGACATTTTCCTGCGGGGAAACGCACGTTCGCTAATAGCACTAACTACCAGTAAGTATCCTTGAGCAGTGGCCCGCCCTAACCTAGTACAATCCCGTTGGTACTTTTGCCTAGAGGCTGGGGAAGTGAGTGAGCGGGAGAGAATCCTACTTACAAGCTCGTGACCGGTGAAATCGCGCCAGTAGTTGACTCCGTTACTACTATATAAACATGTACATGCCTCCGTCTTGGAGATCGTCCCCGTCCCCACACCACATCACATCAACTCCACTTCTCAACTCGCTCGAGTTTGACTAGTCACGATGCGGTTCTTGTCGACTCTCCCTCTCTTTGCTGCAACTGCCCTCGCGCAGTACAGCACTGCGCCGTCTGCCAACTCGTCTTGGACTTCGGGCCCTGACAAGGATGGCAAGTACGAGATCTCGTCCGAGGGCATTCGCGCTCTCTTCATTCCCTATGGCGCGTCCATCACCAACCTGTTCATCCCGGGCAAGGACGGTGAAGAGCTTGACATTGTCCTCGGCTTCGACAATGCCACCGCCTACGAGGGCCCCGTTCACCCCCATCTTGGCGGTGTACCCGGCCGTTACGCCAACCGCATCAAGAACTCGACCTTCACCATTGACGGCCAGGACTACCACATTACGCCAAACGAGAACAATGGCGCAAACACCCTGCACGGTGGAAAAGATGGATGGGACTGGCGCAACTTTACTGTTGTCGCCCATACCAAGGATTCCATTACTTTTTCCATTGTCGATCCCGATGGCAAGGAGGGTTTCCCCGGTGAGGTCATCAGCTACGTTACCTACACCGTGACCCCACACACTTGGCGCTTCAAGATTGTGGCCATTGCTACCACCAAGAAGACGCCCATTATGCTGACTTCCCACGTAAGTTAGATTAATTAATTATTCTTTTCGAATGACCACTAATAAAGAAAAAATAGACCTACTGGAACTTGGACGGTTTCGCCAACCCCGAGGATTCGACGATTTTCAACCATACTTTCCACATCCCTTACTCTGGCCAGCGCGTTGGTGTTGACAATATCCTCATTCCTGATGGCACCATTCTGCCTAATGAGAAGTACTCTGTCAACGACTTCTGGTCTGCTCCTAAGCAGATTGGTGCCAACCAAACCGCACCCGAGCTTCTTGGTAACTGCGGTTTCAACTGCACTGGTTACGACAACTGCTACCTCGTCAACCGCAGCCCGGCTGAGGCTCTCGACTGGCGTAACTCCGGCCCCGTTGCGTCATTGGCCAGCGAGTGGTCCGGTATCAAGCTCGACATCTACTCCGACCAGCCTGCTTTCCAGATGTACAGCTGCCCCGGTCAAGATGGTAAGTCAAGCATCCTTCCCTATCACATTTACATATACTAATATGATTTTCAGGTACCCTTCCTATCAAGTCTACCCAGGGCACCGAGGACGGCAGCCGTTTCGTCCCCAAGTACGGCTGCGTCGTCATGGAGGTCCAGGACTGGATCGATGCCATCAACCGGCCCGAGTGGCAGCGCGAGAAGTACCAAATCTTTGGTCCGGATAGCGCCCCTTACACTCTTGAGGCTGCGTATGTCTTCTCTACTACCAAGTAAAAGCTATAAAACGCTTTTGGGAGCTAGGGAATGATTACCATGAATGTTAATGTAATGCGACATGTCTGGCATGTCATAATTCTAATACAAGTCTAATTGGACTTTTCATTGAGTATCTTGTTTGTTCCTGCTTGCTATTGTTGAAATCTTTGATTGCGAATGATGTGACGTCTACCCTGTGCGAGGCGAACGCATCCTACTAGCGTAAAATAGAGGTGCCGGACGGGCCAACGCCGCGGACGGGCCAACGCCGGATTACGTCCTCCAACACCAATTATTCCATCCACTTCAACCACCCATAACGTGACCACAATGCAATCAATTGACGCTGCGCTTGCTGCTATTAACGCTTTGAAGCCTAATGAAAAACTTGTGTATTCTCAAATTGCAAAAAAATATGGTGTTGACCCAGGAACGCTGAGCCGCCGCCACCGAGGTATTTCTCGCTCCAGACAAGCAGCTGCACAAAACCAGCAGGCAGTCCACCCACAACATGAAGCTGAGCTTATCGACTATATCGATAGACTCACTAAGCGAGGCCTAGCACCCACACGGAGTATCATTCGAAATATCGCGTCGCAGCTAGCTCAGAAGCAGCTCGGATATCACTGGGTTGATCGCTTTGTTCATCGTAACTCGCATCTCGTTATACTCAAGCGCACCACGCCAATCGATCGTAGCCGGCGCCGAGCTGATTCAGAAAAGAAATATCAGCTCTACTTCGAGCTTCTACGCCAAAAAATCGATCAATATAAAGTAGAGCCGCGACATATATATAATATGGATGAGAAGGGCTTTATGATTGGAGTACAGTCCCGCTCAGTCAGAATCTTTTCTAAAGCTGCTCTCAAGTCCAAATTGAAAAGATCAAATATTCAAGATGGTAATCGCGAATGGATTACGCTGATTGCATGTATCTGCGCGGATGGATCGTATCTAGATCCAAGCATTATCTACTCCAGCAAATCCAGCTCTATCCAGAACTCATGGCTCCAAGGTTTTGATCCAGATATACATACTGTGTATATCACCGCATCAGCCACTGGCTGGTCGAATGATAATATCGGTCTCCAATGGCTCAAACAAGTGTTCGATCCAGCCACCAAGCCAAAAGCTCGATCTTCTTACCGATTACTCACCATGGATGGGCACCATAGTCATATAACGATGGATTTCATTGACTATTGTGATCAGAATAAAATACTATTGGCTATATTCCCGCCGCACTCAACGCATACGCTGCAGCCGCTCGATATTGGATTATTTAAGCCACTATCTACCGCATACTCGAACGAGCTATCAAACTTCACCGATACCAGCCAAGGGCTGATACCATTCACCAAATCTCACTTCTTCCCAATATTCTGGAGAGCTTGGTGCGCAGCGTTCAAGGAATCATCAATTCTCCATGCTTTTAGAGCTACTGGACTCTCACCATTCAATCCAGAAGTTATACTTCAAAAATTCAGAACTATAGCTACTAATAGCGATAGAGACGTATCAGTAGAATCAGCGTCTAATTGGAGAGCGATTCGACAGCTACTTAATCAATCTACAAGTAGTAGATCGATCTCAGCGCTTAATAGAATCCTGATGAAACTATCCGCCGATACAGCGTTTCTTCAACGAGAAAACGAGCAGCTCCGGGCAGCTCTCATCGATGAGAGACAGCGCAAGGAGCGTATCCAGCCTGGTACGCTCGAGCTGTCTGACGATTATCATGGTGGAGCTACTTTCTGGTCTCCACGGAAGGTGCGAGAAGCTCGCCGCCAATATGAGCAGAAACAGCGCGATCATGAGGAGTTACAACGCCAAAAAGCTATCGCGGTTAAAGCTAGAGAGGAGAGAAAGCTACTCAAAGCTCAAGAACTAGATGCGCGACGGCGGGCGCGGGCACAGGCAAAACTAGATCGTGAGAGGCAGAAAGCTGAAGCAGCTGCCCACCGGATAGCCCGCCAAGCCGCCCACAAACGACTTCAGAAAGCTATCAAAATCTCACAAAGGGGAAAGAAGCCTACCTTCAAGCGCTCTACTGAGCTAGCATCAAAGAATATTATCGTTGGCAGTAGTAGTGGTGGTGCGCAGCGAGCTAATCGATCAGCTGCACCACCATCACCACGCTCGCGTTCAGGCCGCCCCATCAAGCTGCCAATCAAATATCAGTAGATAGATCAAATAAACAATACTACGAGATTACTATACTAGAGTTTCTCGCGATAATAGCTTTTATGTAGAGCTCTACAGCTTCAAGTTTGTGATAGTACTGTTGGGGAGAAATCCGGCGTTGGCCCGTCCGCGGCGTTGGCCCGTCCGGCACCTCTAGCATGGCGACTCACTTCCACTTTTGCAATGAATAACTCATCCTGCTCGCATAGACGCTGAAAGCAAGACTCAATACTCACAGCACCGACTTCCACGTACTAACCAACCATCTTAATCCCAAATTCATCCCCTCCCTTTCATTACTTTCTAACCGACTCAACACCCTCATATGTTACATGTCAAACCACAGTCACATCCACCTTCCCTGTCCACCCCAAGACTAACAATCCATCGCACAAGCCCCCACCTTGCCACCACGCACTGCCGCTTCCCCGTTTGCCCTTGCACCATTCACATGCGATCATTTACTTCCAACCGCTTTCTACACAGTGCGTGAAGAGGGACGCTGTGCGTATGGCCTTAGCAAAGTATAATGTAGAGTCAAAGAAAGAAGGCGGTGAGATTGCACTGCATGAGATGTTTGCATGGTGTAGTTTGGGTGGTATGCGTGCTTTGCGTTGTTGGCGTACTGTTATGCGTGGTGGTGACTATGTTGGTATGGTGGTGCTTTGGGTGCGGGCTACGGCAGTTTGCTTCGTTGATTTTTTTTTGGGGTTTGGGTGGTCGGTGAGTAGTTTGGGATTGCCGACAGAGGTGATGTGGAAATAAAGGGTAAAGATGCTGAGGACGGTGATGGAGTTTAGAGGAGCTGGGAGTTTGACGCCGGTAGCGGGATGTAGAGTTGATACGGGTGAGTTGATGGGATGCGAGGGAGTGGAATAGAAAAGGTCCAGCTCGCGTGTATGCGGGTACGATAGCGTGTTGACTACCCTGTCTTATCATTACGGCGTTTGCTTTCTTTCGTATCTTGCACCACTGTGATTTGGTTAGTTGTTTGGCCCAAAAAGTTTCTAGCAGTAAATCGAGGGTCAAACTTACATCCACTCTTGATCCAATGATTCATATACTTTCGTAATCGATACAAGAGCGCTGCTTCATCCACCACTGGCATTCCCTTCTCAGCCAGTCTACGATTAGCTTCTTCTACGACATCTTGACGCACATCTTGGGGAATTTGCGTCCAGTAGCACAGGTTTTTAGTGGGTATCTTGTCGATATGCGCGAGCACTGCTTCACGCAAGAGCTGGCGCGGGAATTTTGTCTCGGTAGTTGCCTCCCAGCTGTGGCAGTGTTCTATATCTAGATAAGAGTTAGGACAAGAATTAGGGGGCTGAGTTGCGGGGCTGAGGCTAAGCTCACCTCGCTTCTTTACTCGCAGTTCGGGTAGGCATTTTGATATTCGCCATTCGATTGCTTCATCGTCGAGGGGCGGAAGTCCTTCTTCATGAAGCGCAGATCTTATCCTGCCAATCATTTCCTCTTTTTCAGGCGGACTGATGTCGCTCAGTTTGGCGCCTGCATGGTCTTGGCAGACTGCTAGGGAGACACGCTGGACGCCCGTTAGTCTTGAACCTCGATGGCACGTGATGCATGGAAACCTTGACAAGGCGTCCCAGGCAAGGGGATATGCATACTAGGAATATGGGCCATTGCTTGTCCGAGAGGCCTAATAGTTTTCTAACCTGGTCCCGCTGCATCCGCCGCGGTATGGGAGTCGCGGTGCGGGCCTTTGCCGCCCATAATATTGCTGTAATCCTCATGCTGGCCTAGGGAGACACGTGCGGAGATATCGAGGGTGGGCTGCTCGCAACATGGCGCGCTATGCAGTCAATTGAGCCGCAGAGGCTGTTGCTCGGATCAAGGTCGGATAACAATTCGTAGGCGCTGCTCGTTTCGTTGATCAGACTTCACATCCTGGCTGGACCTATTTCTAGGCCGCACGCTAATACTTACGTACCCGGGCGGCAAAAACGCCAGGCAAACCACACTAATCTCCACTCTTAATACTTCGCAGCCCGTAGCAGCCTGCACAACTGGAGCGTGTGCAACTTTTTGAGGCCAATCAGTAGAGTAAATACACACTGTGCCGCGCTGCCAAGTAAACGCTGCAAGGCTCCCGCTAATCTTCCGCAGACTGGTACTTAAGTACGTGGCGAACATAGTGCAAAATGCGGGTCTCGCCTTGCGCGATGTTACAGAATGGGGCCAAAACAGTATGCAAGGCTGGACGCCTTAGACATGTATACCTTGTGCAATTCTTGTCTTGCGAGATACCTGTAGTGGGTACTTCCCTCCTGTACTTCTCATTCCTCCTCTCTTGCTATCTTTTGAAACTTCACGTTGTCCACATTGTCTAGTTACTCTGGCAAAAATGGCCTACGAACCAGTTGGCCGTACCGACGGCTCGCGGATATCAATCAGCGATGATCTCGAAACGAGAACGCAGTACGATGCCGGCTCGTACAATAACGACCCTTCAGTGACAGGTTCAGTGTACCGTCGAGTAGGAGATCAAGCCAAAGGTGTCAAAGGCGCAACTTGGTCTAGTGAATCAATATCAGAGCAGTGGCCTTTGCAATCGCAGAAACTGGCACTGATGACGCCGTGGCGTGGATTCATCATGCTTTTCGACTTGATTCTCGCGTCCACGCCCATCATGTTGATTTGGCACAGCTCTCGCCCTCATAGCTGCCAGGCTAGACGGGACAGAAATTTCGGACTATGGATCCGGTTTGAAAGAGACGCTGCTCATATCGCCAACAATCTTTCCTCTTCTCTTCGCAGCCTTGATGGGAAGGTTCTTTCGCCATCTTGGTCTCTGGCTGGCGCAGCGAGGGACAACCCTCGGTCGTCTTGAGCAGCTAGTTGGCTGTCAATCTGTCTTCTCTGCGCTTGAGCGGCAGATCTCTCTCCGTTCGTGGTCCATCATTGGAATAGCATCGATTCTGATCTGGCTTCTCTCACCAGTCGGAGGCCAATCAGCACTGCGTCTGCTCGACCAAGAAACCGGCGAAATCCACTCGACTCGTCAAATTCACTACTTGAGCCTGACGGAGATAATGAAAAGCATAATGACTGGCACTAGCATCATCAACAGCGCTCGGAGTGGCTTCACCGCCATTTGCCTTGCAGCTCTACTCAGTAGTTCCAAGGTTAAGGACACGCCCATGGACTTGTGGTAGGTAATTTTGGTAACTGAATATGTTACATACCGCTTTACATCCGAAATAGACTAACAGGAATTTCTTTAGGGGAAACGTTAAACTTCCTCTATACCGGCACATTGAGAACAGCACCTCGGATGAATGGAAAACCATCTGGAATCCGACCGGCAACAACGTCACATATGCTTCTCTTATAGGCATCCCGGTTGTCGGTCTACCTACGGATGGAGTCAGCAATTTCAATATCAAAGCCCGTCAATGGGATGTAACCTGTTCGAGCAACAAAGGCACCAACGACAATCAGACAGACTTCGTGAACATGTACACATGGCAACTTTCATATACCGATAACAAGACGCCAGTGTGCCAAAACTTAACACGATGCGATACCTCAAGGTGCAGCGGTTATCCTTGCCCAATCCGTAGCGTATCGCTCGCCAATCAAAAGCCCTATTTCTTCTCTGTAGCCGCTTGCAATCTGACATTTGAGAATTTTGAGGCGCAAGTACAATGCACCGGGCGGGCATGCGCTGTACACAAGATGAGGAAAATTCCGTTATTGGACGATGATTATCCAATAGGATACGATAAGACCATGCGCAATATGTTCTCCGTCACCCAACTCTCCCATATGACTTCGCTGGATAACTACAACATGGGATAACTACAACATGGCAAGCAGAGTCGCTCGAGGCTCCACCAATATGGAAAGATGGATGAAAGACCCTTCGCGATTCATTGGCTTACTGTACAGCAATGTGAACCTGTATGAGCTGTCGCCACAGCTCTTTGGAGATCGACTGACCATCGGATATAACACTTACTGGCAGTCGACGTACGGAACCGCCTCTCTGGCTGGCAATCTACCCGATTCTGTAGCAGAGACTGGAATACTCCGAGTTGCAACGCCTGACGTCCCTGCCATCCCTGACATAGAATTTGTGGTTTCGGAAGCATCCACAGTCACAAAGACAAAGCCAACGTACAAGACGAACTGGAAGTGGTTCATAGCGCTCATGGTGTGCTCCTGCATCCTATTGGTGGCGGCGTACACTGGCCTTGTCCTCAAATACATCACCATCGCGCCAGACATCATCGGCTACGCCTCTTCTCTAACAATCCTGAATCCATATGTTCCGAAACCAACAGGAGGAACTACGCTCCACGGCCTGCAACGTGCAGCCTTGCTACGCGACTTGCCGGTGCGTATAGGCGACGTTAGTCCTAACGAGCCCGTCGGCGTCATCGCGCTTGCCAAAGCCGACACGGAGCAGGTAGCAAGACTAGACAGGCAACGGTCGTACATATGAAAAAATGAAAAAAGGAAAGGCTCTTTGAGACCAGCGCCGCTGCAAACTCATGCCGCCTTGTAAGCGCTAAGGCGACGACGGAGCAAGAAACCTGACGGTCGCCAAGTATGATGCGCAAACTACAACCGATGTAAAGGAAAACACCGCCTTTCTCGAACGACACCTGTTGTATCATGTTTGAACCCCACGGCAGACAAACTCGCTTGTACAGTACATACGTAATACATGGGCGCTGCGATGTTATGCCTCAAAAATGAACCGAAACACGGGTCGGCGGGTACACATGACAAGTCAGGACACCCCATCCTTCCTTAATGTCCGAGTACATTTGAAACCGAACAGCCCTACGCCTATAAGAAAAATGTCTACAGCAGCTTACTACAACTTCCTTTGAGTAGTTTAGGTGTTTAGACGGCATGGTTCGGTTGAAAAAGTAATGAGGCGTTTGGTGTGTCGACTCCACTACATGTTGGGTTTCAGCGTGCCTGAGGTGCGCGCCCCTAAGGCTAAACGCCCGTGTCTTACCTATTTGGTCGCTTCTGTGACATGTTGGTTGGTAAAGCCGAAATGGTGCCTACTCTACACATTTCTGTTTGCAGAAGGTGAGAGAGGCGGGCGGCGGTTGTCAACGGGACGGGGGAGATGATGACGAGTACGTATATATAGTGTGTAGAGAATCTAATGTCTTAATTTTTTGAGAGAACATCATCAAGAGTGTGCGGGTCTTCACTTGTATATTTCGTACTTCTTCCTTCCTATTTCGACTTCGTTCTGTAGCGCTAGTCGCACATTTTTGTTTCAACGACTTCATACTACGTTTACTATCAATTACAAATACGCCTTTTTACTAGACAATTACCTTCTTCACGACCTTATAGAGAAACTCAACCAAGAAAAAAGGACTCCGAAGATGAAGTTCAACAACGCCATCGTCGCCTTCAACGTCGCCGCGCTGACAAACGCGCTGGCTATCTCCCCACGCCAGAACAACTTGCAAACCTTCACAGGCGCTGTAGGCGGCGCAGCGGCTACTCCCGTCCTCAACTCCGGCAATGCCAACCGCCCATTTAGCGTCGGAGGCGATACGTTTGTGAATGCTGCGGCTGCATTACAGCGATCTTGCGACCAGCAGTTCAATGCTTGTGCCAACTTGGCGAACGGTGGGGATGAAACTGTTTCTGTGGCACAGTGCACAGCGCAGAAGAGTAAGTTGGAGTGCTGCGGGGAGTTGAGGAGATGATTTGTACTGATGGTTTTCTAGATCAATGTTCGGCACAGGCTACTGCGGGTGCAGCCCAGGCACAGGGCGCGGCTCAGGCACAGGGTGCCGCTCAAGCTGGAGCCCAGAACAACGGAGCTCAGAACAATGGCGCTCAAAATGCTGCTCAGAATAACAATGCTGCTCAGAATAACAACGCTGCTCAAAACAACAACGCTGCTCAAAACAACGCTGCCCAGAACAATAATGCTCAGAACAACAACGCCCAAAACAATGGAGCTCAGAATGCTGCTGCTGATAATGCTGCTGCTGATAATGCTGCTCAGAACAACGGAGCCCAGAACAATGGAGCCCAGAACAATGGAGCCCAGAACAATGGAGCTCAGAACAATGGAGCTCAGAACAACGGTGCTCAGAATAACGGTGCTCAAGGTCAAGGTCGGGGTCAAGGCCGGGGTCAAGGCCAAGCCCAAACTGGAGCTGGAGCTGGAGCTGCGAACGGTGCTCAGAATGCCGCCCAGAACAACAATGCTGCTGAGAACAACGCTGCTCAGAACAACAACGCTGCTCAGAACAACAACGCTGCTCAGAACAACAACGCTGCTCAGAATAACGCGGCTTGCAATGGGGCTCAAGCTGGAGCTCAGAACAATGCCGCTCAGAACGCTGCTCAGAACGGCGCTCAAGGCCGACGTCAGGGCCAGCAGGCTCAGAACCGGAAGACCCGCAGGTCTTAGAAGGCCAGGAAGGCTTAGAAGAGTAACAGGGCTGAGAAGATGGACAAAATCGACGCCTCCCGTGAGCAAGAATTCTGCTTTGAACGCAACTGTACAACAAGATGCAGTGCTGGTTACGTTGTCATCCGATGATGGAGACGGGGAAAAGGCCCGGTGCCTCATAGAAAAGATATCACACCACATGCAATCTGTGGACTGTATGTGGAGCAATTTACGATGTTCCGATCACGATCTGTAATTTTGATACCTCATCTTTCTCTACCGTGATGCTGTGTTTGCGTGAATCTCTTGTTCCGCTGTATCTGTTCCTGTGTTTTGTTTCTTCGGTATGTTCTTCAAACATGGTGCGTAGAATAGATGGCCAGTCCATGCGCCTCTGACTGTGCCAACGAAGACGACACACCAGAGAATGATTACAGCGATTGAGAATATCGTCCCTAAGACCCGGAAGAACATACTCGGAATGATATGGCCGAGTTCGATGGTGCTGAGTGCGAAAACTCCCAGAGGAAACGTGAAACCCCACCATCCCATGGAGAACGGGATTGGACGAGATTTGTATATAGATGCTAAGGCAAAACACAACCACGTTAGTCCAAAAGACCACATGATGAGCGCTGTGAATATGCCAATGACGAAGAAAACGTCTCCTGCAATCGGTATATCGGAGAACGATCCAGTCTGCGGAAAGACACGACGACATGTCGATCCAAGGCGTACAATAGCATAACCACCCAACCCCAACGGACCAAGCGGCAGAAAAGACGACACGATGATCTCGCGAGGCGGCAGTTTATGCAACGCCAAACGAGTATAATACATGACGATGACCGTCAAAGACAGCGGCACAGACATACCCCACATGATATATGACGCCAGTATCGTCCCAAGCGCATGCTCCGGATTCATCAAGTTCTCTGCGACTCTCGCCCCCGCTCCAGACGCAACCACCGACGCGGAGATAGGCAGCAGCTGCGCAGCAGTAATCTTATCAAGCGCCTGCCTTCTCGACGCCGAAATCAGCAGCACCGTCAGCGAAATCGTAACCGCCACCGCCACCGCCGCATCAATCATCCAGCACACCCACGCAAACGTGACAGCCCAAGGTCCCCAGTACGGGATGCACAGCGAGCACCACGCCGAGATCAGCGTGGAAAAGCCCATGGGGACCGTGCCGAGGAAGAGCGAGTTGGCACTGTCGGCAATCATGACCGGCCAGATCTCCGGGTACGCGACGTATCGGAATACAGAGATGGCCAGGGCGCAGGAGAAGAGGAGGGTGTTGAGTCCGAAGAAGAAGACGGAGACCCAGTAGAGCCAGTGGGCTTGGAAGGGGATGGAAATGAAGAGTAGGGAAACTACGCCTGTGCCCGTTGTGACGGAGAACCAGGAGGGAGAGAAGTTGCGGATGATGCGGCGCCAGCCGACCTAGTGATTGCAAAGAAAAAAGATCAGTTAGTTACTAAGAGAGATTCTTTTGGGTGGAGGGAGCTGGTGGGAAATAGTTTACATCGTATTTTGATGGATATTCTTCTTCTTCTGGTATAACATCATCGTTGGAGCCGGGTGGTGCGTTTGTTCCTTGTGAATTCCTCGACTTTGAGCGCTGCACGGGTGTGCCTTGGGATGTCGGCGGCCACAGGGCAGGATTATTCGTCCCTACACGATCCAACTCGTATTCATCCATTTCTCCAAAACCCTCCTCTTTTCAATGGCAGTAGCCGTAAACTTCTGCGCTTTCCAAGTCATATTTTTTAAGACTTTGAGGCGCGGAGATTTTATGTATGACGAAGTTTAGGGGGGGCGTGCGGAGCCGTTTCCATCCGGAGCGAGAATCAGCAAACGGTCGATTCGAGGTCCAATCACGTGGCGAGCACGGACCGATTGGTTTCACAAGATTGGACTTACTCTCGCAATCAGGACAAGGCGACATTTCCCTTCTCTATCTTTCCCACCCCTACTTACCTTACTTGCGCCTTTGCACTAGACCGTTATCTCACGAAACGATTGGGGGAGAAAAAGGGGAAAGGGTGTCCCAACCTGGCTTTCGTCCCTTTCTTGCCACCGTAGCCCTGTTGTTCCTTCTCCTACGTACTATCTTGGAAACCGTATGTTTTTTGGGTTTCGGGTTGATTTGTTGCTCTTACTACATCAACCTTCGTTTGCTATTTGCTGTTTCGTTTGCTTTTTCTTTCCTTTTCTTTGGTTGCCCACCCGCCGGTAGATAAGGTCCCAACAAAGGTCGTCCTTTGCTGCGCCGGCCTTAGTTTTTTGTCCAACTATCTGTGGACCCCCGCGCGCGCGTGCCAGGACCCTGAAGGGTTGTTCAAATCGGGGGGTGGGAAGCGCCTAGTCAGAGAGAGCAGGCAGATTATCAGTCCATCTGATTGTTTCCCCACGCGCGACACGTGCACGCGCGCACGAAAAAAAAAGAGACAGCAATGCCCGGGTTTTTGGATCTGCCGCTGGAGCTTCGCAACCATGTTTACGAGATGCTGCTTGGGGAAGAGCTAGAGCCTTGTTTCCGCGGGGTAATGGTCGTGTCTGAACACTACGTGCGCAACGACTTGCCGCTTCGATGTTACCGGGGGCTCTTGCGCGTGTGCCGGCAGACGTATCGCGAGTTCAAGCAAGCAATACAGCACCAGGTTGCGTCGAAGCGGCTGAGATACGAATTGGATATTACGTTTTCACATGGGCGCCCTTACTTTTCTCTGACGTGGATACACTTCGCCGCCCTCTCGCCCACGATTAACCAGTTGTGCATTAATGTCGACTTACGCACGCGCGAGCCACTGCGAGACGGGCCCCGAGAGTCGTTTGTGCCGCACGAACATGAGCTGGCGCATTTGCTCGAACACTCGCCCACCTGTTTTGCAAAGCAACTCTTCGACTACATTGCCATTTTCTTAAAGACACTCGCAAACTTGCTCTTCCAGGGAGACCCCCACTTCAGCGTCCTCTACACTGAATCTATGACGCTGAACCTGCGTACCCCGACCAAAGTTGTCGCCCTCGGAGGCAGTGGCCACAATCCTATTGCGCTGTCGCGCCGCCTCCGTGTCGATCAGACCGAGGCCCGCAAGCTCCACGATACCATGCGTGACACGCTGCGTGCGACGTCGAAGCATTTCCAGGCCTTCAACGCAAATGAGTGTGACCGTCTTTTCCCACTGATACAGATTGGTTGTTTGCGTTTTGCTACTGAAGGTGAAGTCTGGGGCGAAGGCCACAATCTAGTCCTCGCACATGACGATTTCCAGTGGCTGAGGTACTAGGCGTCTTTTTGCGTTGTGCGTTGGATATGAATTACGAATTGGATGATTGACAGTACATATATCTATAGATGGGAGGGTTTTTCTTTACGCGTGAAAATTCGGAGGCGTTTTTTTCCTTGAACGGCGTAGAGGGATTTCATACAGATTGCATTTTTTTTTCCCTTCTTTCCTACGTAGGCGTTTTTTGTGCTATTGGGTCGTATATCCTTGATTTACAGTACACAGAGTCGTCTCTTTACATGTCAAGCTTGCGGCTTGGAAAATAAAGGAATGTCTTCACTAGAAAATTTCCACCGTGGCACGTTGACTGCCGTTTTCCATTCTTGAAACAAAAAGCGAATAGATATTTTGGTAACTTTGTCCCTACGCCCCCATTTTGAGCGAATTACATAGACTCCTCTAGATAATGTGAAAAGAAAAAGTTCATGAAGAACTAATAAATATTCCCCAACGCCACAAAATGCCAAACATATACCCCAGTTCCAAATCCTCAATCGCTAAACCCCTCAAACTCGTCTTCCTCATCCTGTGCCTCCTTCTCCGCCACCCTCTTCCTCACTTGGGCAATCATACCCTTCAGCCTCTCATCCTCCTTGCGCTCCTCTTCCGTCATAGCAGCCACACGCTCATGCTCCCGCTTCGCCGTCTTCTTCTCCCTCCTTAACTCCTTTAGCACCTTCAAATCCTTCTGGTGCGTCCAAGCCGCCGCCTTCTTATCTTCCGGAACATATTTCTTCTTCTTGCCCTCAGCCTTGGTAGCTTCATATTCGGCCTGCTCGGTCTGGCGTTGTTGCTCGCGGGCCTTGTCTTTGTATGCGTAGGCGGCAAAATCAATGGTGACGCCGAGACTGCGGTCGCCGTCCCATTTCTTGAGCTCGGGCATGCTGGGGAGCTTGAGGAGGCCCCATGCGTGGCCTTGTTCTGTCCAATCGAGGTCTGGAATGCGGAAGATGGAGCTGGCGGTGTGTTTGCTGTATGCGCGAACCCAGGAGACGAAGCCGCGTTGGGCTTTGTCGAATAGTGCTCGGTCGGATTTGACTACTTTTCTTATCTTGCTGCTTGTCGCTTGTGCTTCTTCGTCTGAGATTTCGATTTTCGGGGTGGTCAGAGGTGATATTGGTGTTTGTCGGACTCGGAGAAACTCGACATAGTCTTCTTCGCGGCCTGGGTTGAGAAAGGTTACAGCCAGTCCTTTGCGGCCAGCTCGACCGGCACGACCACATCGATGGATAAAGGTCTTGGGGTCGCTTGGTGCGTCAAGTTGCAGGACTAGATCGACTGAAGGTATGTCGAGACCTCGAGCTGCTACATCGGTGGTTAAGAGAATAGTTGGCGTCATGCTATCAACAAACTTATTGAAGTTTCTACGGCGAACCTTGTCGGGGTGCTTGCCATGCATGGGCACAATGGTATATCCCTTAAGAACTTCTGGTAGGACGTGCTGGAAATAATCGACGGAATAACATGTTGCCAAGTACATTATCGACTTTTGAGGCTGTGGCTGCAAGGACGCCAGGAGTTTCTTGATGGCTGGAAGTTTGTGAGACGCAGGCATGACAAGGTATGACATTTGCAAACTCGCGGGTGTCCTCTTATCCTCTATTGCGCCAGCCTCGCCTGTCGCACTGTTGGCAGCTCGAGCCTTGACCTTGACGGCGATACGGACTGGATTTCGGAGGCCGACGCGAATGAGCTGGTCGATTGCCTCGCTAACACTTGCACTGAAGAGGCCGGTTCGGCGCTGCTTGGGCAGGCGAGAAAGAATCTTCTGTAGGTCATCTTTGAAGCCAAGATCCAGAAGTCGATCGGCTTCGTCAAGCACAAGAGCATCAAAAGACGACTGTGAGCAGTGAACGTGCGGTGAGGAGAGAAGTTCTAGAAGGCGACCAGGGGTACCGATAAGAATGTTGGTCGATGATTTCAAGAATCTGCTGAGATCTTGTGCTGGCGTAACTGAGCCACCTAGGAGCAGCTGAGGAACAACTCGCAGGGTTCCTGGTGGAAAAGTTGGCTTGGGTGGAGCGTCGGCATCTTCCATGTCGGTATCTTCATCTTCGGGATCCAATAGGGCTGCTGAGGGGCCATGAAACCTAAGAAGGGAGGCTAGGACTGTGTAAATCTGGGTCGCGAGTTCTCTGGTTGGTGATATGATTATGGCGCCCACGTGATGCTTCTTTATGGGCGCATCCAGTCGCAGCAACCGCTCGACAATAGGTATAAGAAAGCTACAGGTACGTTAGCATATGTGTGTTATGAAGATGCATGAGCATTACGCTAGGGTTTTTCCACTTCCGGTGACGGCCTCGACTACGACATCCGAGTTCTTCATGAACATGGGAATGGCTGCGTGTTGCACCGGCGTGGTTTTCACAAAGCCCATAGAATCGACCGCCTCAAGAATCCATTCCGATAAGGCTGGGGTCAGAGCGCCAAAAGAGCGATCCATCTTCGCCTGAGGCGCCATGGCGGAGTTTAGGTTTGCAAAAAGGGCTTTTGGTGTGGTTGACAGAGTCGCCATGATGGTTCAAAAAAAGTTATGATTCGCGCACGGACCATACAAGGCTGGCTGGCGGCAATCATAATAAGGTTGAGCCCAGCCAGGTGTGTTCAGGGAACATCACTCAATCGGTCGCTACATAGCAAGGCTGGAGAAATTTAAACTTGTATTTCTACAATTAGTCGTCGCATCAATTAATCTATGATTCTTGGGGGAAAAACATTGATATTTTCAAGACATCAACATGACACTGTTAAAAGAGAGACCCGTGCGCAAGCGATATGCCACAACACCATGTAAGATTTTAGAGATGGTTATATAGGATATAATATGAGAGATTGCATATGCTCTGTCGTATGTAGTTTATGACAAGCATCTTTTATTCTACGAGATTCCGGGATTGCTCATATGCGATTGTCCGAATGCCATCGCCAAGACGGCACCACGCCACGCTGATCTCTGGCACATGCGCGAACCAGTTTCTACGTTGGTAGCCCTGCAGACCAAATTTCCTAATTTCATGCCACAAGATTACTGCTTCGCCGCCGCTGTTGCCGTTGGTCCCTCGCATCCCCTGCTCACCCGCCCCAAGCACGTAATTAAGACGGCCGCTGTTGTCGCCGACAAAAATTGTGGCCTCTCCCGTCGCCTTGGGCCATGGGGGCTGCCCGGACGAATCCACGGGCTGTGAGTGTGATGTGATAGCCAAATCTGACATCAATGGCGAGACCGGCGTACTAAAGGCCACCCTCCCGCGTGACAGCTGTGACACGCCTACTCAGCCTCGTCCCCTCTGCCCGGAATCTTCAGGCCCGCGTTCCTTGCTTGTCCACCTCGCTTTGCTCTGTTCCACGGCCCGCTCTACCCTCTCCGGCGTCATCCGCACTCCTACTTTTCCTTATTTTCCTGTCTGCTGGCGTGTCGCCATGGAATCGTCGCGCCAGTATCAAGTCCCCCACACGCCGCGCGTGATATCGCCTTCGCCTACGCCCTCGGAGGCTGGCAGTACAAGAGATGGCTACTTTGGGCCCGTAACGCGCTCAGCAACACGCAAACAACGGGTTACGTCACCACCACCAATCGATGAAGACTTGTCTGGCTCCGACCCTGACCAGAGGGCGCGAACTCGAAGCCGGAGTCCGGCGGTTGCAAAAATGGCAGGAAAGCGGCGAATGAGTGCCCTGGCGAGCCGACGACAGATGAATGGAGTCAGCAAGAAGGAACTCTCGTTGCCTGGCGACACAGCAAATGGTCATTTATCGCCGGCAGCAGCCAACAAAAACTACTGGAGAGAGATGAGCCGAAGCCCGAGTCCTCTGGGCCTTATTCCTATCCACCAGAAATGGCGATCATTTGTGAGTTTCACATGCCACTTTTTTTCAGACCCCCTCCTAACGGCCATAGATCCATCGGCATGAGATACCCCGCAAGATTCTTCACGTTTCTATCGGCTTCCTGACCATCTTCCTTTATTGTACCGGCACGCAAACGTCGCAAATCCACAATGTGCTCCTCACATTGCTGGTTCCTATTGCCCTGACTGACGTCATCCGCCACCGCTACTGGCAAGTGAACCGCCTCTACATCCGCTTCCTAGGCGCGTTGATGCGAGAATCTGAAGTAGATGGATACAACGGTGTCATCTCATACCTTCTCGGCGCATGGATCGTAATGCGCTTCTGTCCAAAGGACATTGCAGTGATGAGCATCTTGCTCCTGAGCTGGTGCGACACTGCAGCTTCGACTTTTGGCAGACTGTGGGGCCATCTGACGCCGAGGGTGAGGAAGGGCAAGAGTCTGGCGGGATCCATCGCAGCATGTGTGACTGGTGTCATTACAGCCGCGGTCTGGTGGGGCTGGCTCGGTCCCACGTTCTCAGAGTACAACCACGGCGAGCATACATTCGCATTTCAGGGTGCCCTCATGCTACCCCTGCAAGCACGAGAACGACTCAACCTGTCTGTAAGCCAGGCTTCGATTACGGGCCACGTGGCTTTGGGTGTCATGTCCCTGGCAGCCGGCATCATTGCCAGTGCCAGTGAAGCCATAGACGTTTTTGGGTGGGACGACAACCTGACCATCCCTGTGCTCTGCGGCGCCGGTCTCTGGGGGTTTGTCAAGATGTTTGGGTGAGGCCGGCTTGTATGATGCGACGACACACATTTCTTCTTCTCTGCTCTTGTAATATCACTCTGCGTCACTTTGGATGGAATCGATACCCTAGACACACAGCCCTTTGGTAATGGCATGGATGCAATGGTTTGGACGGCGTTGAGGAATGTACTGTATGTAGGAAATGGGCAGAGGTAATATGAAACCAATACATGGACATGGGCAAAGGCATGTGTGATGCAGCCACTGAGCTGCTTTTGTGCAATGGCGCTATGGGAGGCTTATCGAGTTTCAAGCCGAGGTCCGCGAAATGTCGTGTCAATTGAATGTCGAGTGCCCAATACAGCGCATCTTCACGCCCCCGAGAACAAACAGCGACGGTGAGCGCGTTTGACATGCACCGCAGACGCAAAAGGGAAAGCCTCGATACCGTAAGGGAGCCTTGCTATGGGCGATTCGGCTTGGCGCATGTCGCCACATGCAACGCGGCGATTGGGGGTCAGTCGGTCATGACAGCAGCCTTTATTCTTCATAGGCCTGCCATCGCCAGGTCGGCCAGCCCAAGAGTCTGACGGGCAGAGAGACAGATGAGTTACCATGGCGGTCGCTGATAAGGCATATATATTACTGATTGCCCAGACTAATTGTCCACGCCAAATGCCCTTCTGCTCACCTGCCGGCAATCTGACTTCTGCCTCTATTGCCCCGCCATCGTAGTCGGGTACCCACCGCAACGCATCTCCACACCACACCCTGCGCCTAAACGCGCCTCTGGACCCTCTCCCAAGCTCCATCTGCTGGCGACTACCGCTCTTGGCTTGGTTTCTACTGCACGTCATCTACGCCGTTTCTGCTCTCTCCCAACTCAATCTTTTCCGTTTGCGCCCACTGTCCTTTGGCCCTACCCTGCCTCGCCTTTGCACCCCACACGCCTGTACACAACCACTACTCGCCATGGCTTCGTCGTCGGCAGCAGCAGGCCTGTTGTCTCGCCAGCTCAAGCAGATGCAAAACGACAAGAGCATATCGGGCATCAGCTGCGGATTAGTCGACAACAACGTGTTTGAGTGGGAGGTAATGCTGATGATTGACGACGACACAAAGTTTTATGGAGGTGCGACTACTACTATACCTTCAATGCGACCACATGCTCACACACCACACAGGAGGTTTCTTCCGCGCCCGTCTCACTTTCCCCACCGAATATCCTCTGCTGCCACCTAAGATGCGCTTCGAGACCCCCATCTTCCACCCCAACAGTGAGTTTCCCATACATCTTCTCCTCTGCTTTTTTAACCAACCTACACCACAGTCTATCCGAACGGAGATGTCTGTATTTCGATCCTGCACCCCCCAGAAGAAGACAAATACGGTTATGAATCCGCCGCTGAGCGCTGGTCACCCGTCCAAACCCCCGAAACCATTCTTCTCTCCGTCATATCCATGCTCTCCAGCCCCAACGACGAGTCGCCTGCGAACGTCGAGGCTGCCAGCCTGTGGCGAGACAACACACCCGAGTTTAAGAAGCGCGTAAGAAAGTGTGTAAGGGATAGCTTGGAGTTTGAATGAAGCGCAGTGGTGCAACTTGGGCTGGCAAAACTTAATCATGACAAACAAGCATAAGCGCGGTGGATGTATCTTTGGTTAGGGCGAATTTACTGGTTCATGGCGTGCTCGGCGTCATACATAAATATTCTTTGAGAGTTTGGTGGATGCATCGTACGTCAAGAATCAACATGGTACATGTATACCAAGATTTTGTGCATGTTTACTTTGCGACATGAGTGATGAAATGTTTGAGAAAAACATCTAAACTAGATTATTTGGAGATGGGTTGGCTATGAAGACTAAGTCATCAAACACCACGTCACTTTCTACCAAGCACACTACTAATCAAAATCCCAGAAAATATATATGATATTTGTATACCCCATGATTACCCCGGGTCCAAACCCCTATTACTATTCTCCCATTCCATATACATACCCAATCCCCCCATCCCAAAGAAAATCCCCCAAAGTAAAAGTGAAAGAAAAAGAAGAAGAGGAAAAATATTAGTGTACAAGTCCCCCCGGCGTATTATCTTTACCTGCGCTTTCCCCTCGATTTCAACTCGACAGAAGAAGAAAGCCTCATCTAGATCACCCCAAGCCCAAGCAGCAAAAGCGCCGTGCAAACCAACCCATCACCGCCGAGGTTACCGAGTCCACCGAGAGGCAAAATGCAGCATTGAGCCGACAGACCGTTTTGGGCGCATTGGGCATTGAAGGCGTCGGGTGTGGCAACGGCACCGGCTGTGTTCGTGTTAGTATCGCATATTTGTATCTGAGGGTTTCCGAGTGTAGAGTTGGTAGGGAAAAGGAAGAAAGGGAGAAAAGCTTACCACTTGCACAGTTCGACACACCTAGCAATCCAGTCTGGCAGCAGAGGGGAGAAGAGGAACCGCAGAGGCCGCCGCCTTGGCCGTGGCCGTGGCCATGTTGGCTGTGTTGGCCTTGTCCACCGTGTTGGCCTTGACCTCCTTGCTGGCCTCCTTGCTCGCCACCGCCTTGCTGGCCACCGCCTTGCTGACCATATGGGCCTCCTTCGCCGCCTTGCTGACCACCTGGACCACCTTCTCCGCCCTCGCCGCCTTCACCTCCCTCACCTCCTTCGCCACCGCCGAGGAGACCGCCGCCGAGTTGAGGTTGAGGGAGGGCGATTGCGCTGCTGAGGGCGAGCAGGGAGGTTAGAGTGATGAGTGTGAAACGCATTTTTGGATTTAGTGATTTGGTTTGGTTGTTTGGAAGCGAGTGGAAGGAGTTGAAGAGTTTAACGAAAGTGTTTTGTAGACAGTTGGATAGTTGGTGATGAGGATGTGTTGATGATGAGCAATATTTCCATTGGCAATCAAGACTCTTCTTATACAATCTTCTTCTTCACCATACCCACACTCTCCATCCCCCAGTAATCTTCCAACTCCATCTGTGGTGTTCACAGTTCCCCCCACCCTAACCATCTCTTTATTTTTCCACCGCAGAATATGCACGGTTTTTTGCTTTCCGTGTTCCATGCGTATACGTGCTAAGCAAACCGCCCACCCCCACCCCCATGGCGAAGATCATACACAACAACCTTAAATCCCTACAAAAATTTTCCGTGTGGCTCGGCTGCAGGAGCCGGTTATTTGTGAGGGATTGTGCAGGAAAGAGGATCGACTGCAAGGTTTTCTCGCTTCCTACGACGATGGATGTTGTTGTTCGCGGGGTAAATTTTTGCTTTTTCTTCGGAGATGACAGGATGGCGCGCTCTGTGTCTTGCCTGATTAGGAAGTAGTACGAAGGAGGGTGGGTGTTGTGGCTGCTAAGCTTTAATTTTTGTGGGTACACCCAAAAAGTAAAGATAGGTTGGCTACTATATGTGGAAATTGGATACAATTGATTGGGTTGCGGTTGTGGGTGATCGACACGCACGTGGGTGAAGGCCAAAGAACACACGGATTATTAGGTTCATCGGTACAGGCAGGATGGGAATCTTCGGACTAAGAATAGAATCAGGATGTACATCGCATGGGGGTTTGAGGTGAGCCTAGCGTGATTGGAGAGGCGAGAAGAAGCAACCCATAACGGAGAATTCTACGAATCCAAGTGGCTCCGAGTGGCTTTGCAAGTGTCCGAGTGGCATTGCTTGATAAGATCGCAGTGATTGACATTGAACTAAGAAGACAAAGAGATGACAAGGGGAGCGCAAAGTCGCAAAGTTGTCTTTTTCGTCTACGTAAGTACGTTACAGAAAGTCTTGGACCCAAGCACACGCACACACACCTACAAACTCCCCTTCCAACGCAACCTCTCTTTCCTCCGCGCAAACCCAACACCAAAAATGCATCCTTGTTGTCCTGATCCAAGCACAGGCAATAGGTAGAAGAAGAATTCGTAAAAGCAGTCTAGCGCTTACACACGGGGCCTGCCAAGTGATATAACACTATGCTATAGTCATGACGCCACCAGTGCTAATTATACAATCACCAACACCGCGAGGAAAGCAGCAGCCCATCCAAAAGACGATGTCTGGAGCATAACTCCGTAGTTTTTCTCTTCCTCGTCCTTGTTATCGTTGTTGAGAAAGTCGAAGGTAATATTCCTAGCAGGCTTCTTTGGCCTCCTTGTCCTGCGCGACCTGGCCTCGACAGTCTTGCTAGGAATAGTAAACCAATCCAGCAGTCCCCCAGACGTGCTTTGGGTTTTTGATGCGCTGAGAACTTTGCGGGCGACCGTGTGTGTGTTCGACCACGACCCTGTGAGCAAGTCTGCGACATTCTCGGGCTGGCCGTCGGTTGTGTTGAGAAGGACTTGCGTGGAGCCTTGCATCAAGGGAAGCTTCTCCACGGATAGCTTGGCGACAGAGGGTGCTTGGGCGGCGGGCTTGTTTGGATCTACAAGCTCAAACACCATCTTGCCATCCACCATGGTTTGTAGAGACGAGGAGATAAGGCCTGGCTGCATAATGCACATGGACGAGGGTGAGTCGCATTTGGTGCCGTTTTTAGATATGACGAGCGTGTAAGTGCCGGGCATCTTCTCTTGAGTGCCGATTCTGACAGCTACACCATTGTCTGGAGCGGCTACAAAGTGAACAAATTAGCATCTTTCTTTCATACACACAAAGGCAATATGCCAACTTACCCTCTGCTACAATGCCATCCTTGAGGCTGAGAGCTGCAGCATTGAATTCCACCGCAAGATCTCCCACAGTCGCAGCCTGTGCGTACTTCTGAAGGCCAGCCAACATAATCGTAAAGTAAAAAGCGTGCATTTTAGCGAAAAAATGTCCGAAGAAAAGATGTGGGTAGTAGGCTAAGAAGGTATGACCGCACAGCAGTTGAATGAATTGAACTGTGAAGAGGATGAAGGAAGAAAAAAAAAAGCATGACAGCACCTCCAATAAATATACATCATAGACATCATCATACGTTATAGACATGATTCGATTAATACCAGCATTTTTCTTCAAGTCAGTACCGCATAGACTGAACTTGCCTGGTGTTGATGAAACTGCGTCGTAGGCATCACATGACAAAGTGGACAGATAGGCCTTCTCCAGGCCTCTTCCCAGTCACCTACACAGAATAGATTGGCCCTGCATCCATTCACACGCAACATCGGCTGTTGATCGCATCGTCGGCTGTTGATTCAAAACAGAGTAAAGCTGTGGGGTAAGAATAAACAACAATGCCAATGCCATAACACCGTAAGCATATAGCCCACATTTTGACTAGTATCATACTAAATACAGCAAAACAACCATCTAGGTATACTAGTTTGAAACCAACGATCTGGTTAAGGCATGTTGTAACGCGCATAGACAGGTTTGGGGGTTCAAAATAGAGTGCCGAGCCTAAAGCCAAGATCAGCGCACAGGCTTGTTATAGAACTACGAAACCTGTGATGGCTATAGGTGCTAGTTTTCTTTGCGACAGAACGACTTTATGCTTGCACGTGTTGTCGTCTGGCTAGCTGCTAGCGGCTGCGTGTCACAGTATCGCCGCTTAAAGCCAGCAGAGGCCGTGCGCGACCAATGCTAGACAACTAACGTTAATGCTAAGGTAAGCAGTGTATACACGCATGTCAAGCCAAGTCGTTCTCGAATGCTGTCACGGGTCTGTCATCGTCTGAGGTTTGCAAGTGCCTGGCGAAGAGCGATGCTGGTCATACAGGAGCTTGTGTATGATGCTAAGAGATTTCAGATGTTTCTGGTGTTTATGCTGCTGGCTTGGTAGCTCTTTCGTCGAGACTATGGCATTCACTTGGCATCTTGCGTCGTCTGATGTTTCGCTCCCAATATGCATCGTTCAGAATGTATAAAGATGAGGTGTTGCACACCAGTTGGAAATCATCGCATCATCAGCATCCGATCCCACCATCACTTCCATTCCATCGGTCTCGCAGGTTGAAGATCACTCACTTTCATCTTCAATTCAACACTCCAAGCCGGTCTTTCTTTTCCCAAACCTTCCATTCCCACTTCTTCCAGCTCTTTCCAACAACTTTCAACATGCATCCTTCTACCATTGCAGCCATTCTGGCATTTACTGCTGGCATGACTGTGAATGCTGTGCCCGTTGTTCGCCCGGAAGGCACTCCCGAGCCTCCAGCTGATAAACCTCGGACAACCCTTGAGAATTCTCGAGCTCAGCCTCAGCTGTAAGTCTTTCTACTGAAAACCACACGAGGCGTTGTACTAACAGCATCAGAAGCGAACTTGCCGAAGATGAATTTACTATCCCTTCAGTTGGGAAGAGAGACCATCCGCCTCGCCCTTTTACTGTCTGTAACAATAGTGGCGGACCATCCATTGCAATACCCTGCATTAGCCCAGAACTTGCCGAACAGATCAATCGCGGCTCCAGCGCCGTTCCCCGTACCGGTGTCAACGCACGAGCTATCAAAAGAGACTCTCGGCGCCTTTTTGGTAATGACGGTGGCGTGGGCTCTATCGGCATTTTGATCGGCCCAACTGCCGAAGAAATGCTAGAGAGGAAGAAACAAGCCGGCTTTCGTAAAGAGAAGAGAGATCATAGAGCAATCATCGGTGATGAAGGTATTCGCCTTGGGTGGGATCCTATTCCTAGTCTTGATGGCGAGGTCCTTCCAGCGTTCGGAGCCCAGAAGCGTGATCCCCAGGTCATCGATGCTGGCTTCGGTTTTGACGCAGGTGTTACTATCGATCCTTCTACTATCACCGGTGGACTTAAGAAGTTAATCCCTGGTCAGAAGGAGAAGCGCGATCCTCAAGTCATCGATGCTGGCTTCGGTTTTGACGCAGGTGTTACTATCGATCCTTCTACTATCGCCGAGAACGTTAAGCAATTCATCCCCGGCCAGAAGGAGAAGCGCGATCCCCAGGTCATCGATGCTGGCTTCGGTTTTGACGCAGGTGTCACCATCGATCCTTCTACTATTACTGGTGGACTCAAGAAGTTGATCCCTGGTCAGAAGGCTAAGCGTGACCCCCAAATTGATGCTGGCTTCGGTTTTGACGCAGGTGTCACCATTGATCCTTCTACTATCACTGGTGGACTCAAGAAGTTGATCCCTGGTCAGAAGGCTAAGCGTGACCCCCAAATTGATGCTGGCTTCGGTTTCGACGCAGGTATCATTATCGACCCTATTGCTAGGCCCGGCCACCTCACGAGACTCCTCCCGCGTCAGAAGGCCAAGCGTGATCCCCAGAACCGTGGAAAGGGCCACGTCTTTGGCAAAATCGCTGAGGGAGTTGCTGGAGGCATCGGCGCTATCGCTGATGGCTTCACTATCCACCAGGCTCTTCAAGGCAAGCCAGCTTAGATAGTCTGTAGCAAGACGGGACTTGAAGTGAGATAGAGCTTGGTTATGATCGGAACGGGCGCTGGGCGCATCTTCTTATGATGATGTCATTCATTTATTGGGTTTTATAGCGATATGTTGAAAAGCAATGCGATCGATTTGACGGTATAACAACGTTTTTTTTCATGCTTGAGTGATTAGTGAATGATGGAGTAAATGTGTAGATATGGCATGTAGCTAGGACCCGCAGCTTCCTAACGCAACAAACACTGCAACCCAAGAAATACAATACTACAAATACACATGTACGTACCTACTTCCATATTCCCTGAATCAACTCATCCACCTCACTAAATACCGTTCCTAAGGCACACAAGGCACCAGCTCCTAAGCTTCGACCGCCTACCCAACTGTTCCCACCAGCCACCCGGAAACTACCCCGTTTCACCCCGCCTACGGCACCATCTCGCCTCCAAACCCGCACGCACTTGGCCAAAACCGTTCTTAAAACAACCATGGTATTCACCAGCACGCCCCCAACATGTCAGATCACGTGGCTCGCTAAGTTACAAACGAACTATTACCCATTGCAGATATCCTTATACACACACCCCATGATGAGACAAACAGCACGAATGCAGAGAAAAAGAGTCTATAGTGGGATTACTCCATAAGAGTCTGAATAACGGAAAGACTGGAAAGAAGAGGGAGAGGAGAGAAGGAGGGTATGACCAGCACACCCCCAACTTTACGCCCTTCAAGAAAAATTACTTCCGACTCGGCATGATTGCAAACAGGGGGGAACTTCTCTTCATTCCATCATGACACTCGTATAAGCGGCAGAAAAAATTGCGGTCGGCCGGGGAGTTGGGAATCCAAACTACCAAAAAGAAAAAAAACGTCGTCGTGGAAAGAAAAGGTGGGGGAGGCTGGGTAAAAGATTCCTACATTACCAAGGAAAAAAAAACGAAGGAACCAAACTCATTTCCAAAAAAGGGGGGTATCAGGCGACCAAAAAAAACACAACACACTCCCGCAAAATATTCCAAAAAATCTCAGAAAAAAAGGGCGTCAAAAAGTCATCGTGCCCCTCTTCTTCTCATCCTCATTCCTCAGTCCGCATTCTCAGCATTTCAAATCTCATCCCACGGAAAATCCTGCGGATCAATCCTCGTACAAGTAAGATACGGCAGCCCACCCTCCCTGAGATCCAGTTCGAGAAAATTCCGCATAAGTGGCTTAACTATATCCTTTGCTTTATTCTTAATCTCATCAATACGGCGCTCAAGTCGCTTCAAGTTGTCACGATTGTAGTGTTCGGGGTTGAGACGAAGAAAGCGCTTGCATTCGTCGTGGTTGAGGTAGCTGGAGCCTGCTTGGCCGAGGAGCCGGAAGATGCGGCCTGTGTTGAAGATTGGGGGTGGAGGCAGGGGGGCGGATTCACCTCGGGGACCTTGGGGGCGCGGAGATTTGAGGATGGGAGCTGGAGGTGGGGTTGTGTTTTCTGCGAGCCATTGCCGGAAGAGGGATACGGCGATCCAGTCGAGCCAGTTGCTCGAGGGGCTGACGCGCTCGCCGCGGCTGGTTGTGAGGGAGAGACGGAAGAGCTTGACTTCGATCTTTGCTTTGAGTTCATCCATTTCGTCGACTTTGTCTTCGATCAGTTCAATGACTGGCTCGGCAATTTGGCCACGCAATTGGTTGATGCCCTGCGGCCACTGTCCGACCACGTGGACCATGGCCTCTGCGAAAATTGCCTTGCTCCGCGCCATGTAGCCCAGTTTTAGATAGCTGGGTGGGTATTTTGCTATCTGTTTCCACAAGCGGCCCTGGAAGCGGAGGAGGTGGTGATCGACGCGCGGTCCAATTACACCGAGTGCATCGTACATATCGGCTAGCTGCAAGAGGGATTTGCACTCGACATAGGCAGTGGCAATGTTGATGGTGTCGAGCGAGGGAGGGTAGTTGTAGAAGATGCGGAACAGGTTGTCATAGTCTCGGAAAGTGTCATCGTCGGGATCGAGCTCAGGAGGTGCGGAGGGCACGTTGACGGTGGAAAAGTTGGCTACGCTGCGGAAGAATCCTGATTGCGGGGGCGCCGGCTTATTGTTTCGTGCTGGTGGTGGCTGTGTGGATGTGCTTGGGTCGCCGCCAAACATGGTGGAGGGTTGGTTCTTCTGGAACATGTCAGCGGGTGCTTGTACGCGCGTCTATGGGAGACAAGGTACCTTTTGGACCAGCATAGGCACGTCATCGTCGCCATTTCCCCAATCGAGCTCATACCTCCATTTCCTCTTTTGCTCTGGTCGCGAACCAGAGGGTATTCTGGCCAGGGTGGTGCCGTTTGTCGGGCCTGCGTTGGTCACGTCTCCGGCAGTGGCCCACTCATCGCTCGTGCCAGCCTCAAAGAAACCAGAGCACTGGGTGAGGATCAGCTTGTGCAACAGATAGCGCTGTTCCTTGCGTCCATTGCTGATGATGATTTCAACGTCGCCGGTGTGGGTGAAGATGGGAAACTCATTTTGCGACACAAGCGACGAGCCCCCGAAATTGGACCGGGTCTGGCGATGTCTGCGGACAGTTGACGCGCGAGAGGAATGCGATGCGACAGAGGACGGGCGCCGTATGGGCAACGAGCGCTCGGCACTCGCAGAGTCTGGATAGGAAACCATGCGCCGCGACTGGTGGTGTTTTGCTGCGGACGGGGTCGCGGGCTGTGAGGGTGCTGGCTGGGGAACGGTTGAAGGGGGTGCGGTCTGGCGGAATATTGCGCTCCAGCAGGTTTGCGACGGGTCCGAGGTGGCTGGTCGCAGGCAGACTGCAGGCGTGGAGGCGGGCGAGGCGGCAGCGGCAGCAGCAGCAGCAACAGCAACAGCAACGGCTGTGCGGGTTGCGTTGTTTGCACGCGGCGGTGCAACGATGCAACGATGCAGCAGCTTGGTCGAGTGCGGGTGGGCAGGCTGGTAGTTTGTTGATGCGAGGCTGGAGGCTGCGCTGAGCAGAGGCGGGCCGCTAAAACCACCCCACCTCCAAGGACAATGGCGCGCAGGGGAGACCAAGACAAGACGGTGGCTAGGAGCAACGACTTTCAGCTCGACAAGGGCAGCGCTGCGGGTCAGCGGCAGTGGTGAGGTTTGTTTCAGACAGACAGCAGCGGCCGCTGTCGCTGTGGCCGGTGGCCGTGGCAACTGTTCACATGGGCTGCTCTGCTTTGCACTCGGCCCATGCCCTGGCACAGAGCTGCTTGCGAGGGCTGTGCGCCAATCGCCTCCCATAGCCGGGCCAAGCGCTGGGTGAGCCTCGACGGTCACCAGCTGGGATACCGCGGCAAATGCAGGGGGATGGCTACAGGCTATGGGCTTTCAACAATTGGGATGCAGGGGTAGCAGGGTTATGAGCACTTGGGTCCGCCATTCGCGTGCTCTCGAGCAGACTTCTTTTGAACATGCTCCGCACTTGTCGTGGCGGCATCCAATCGTCAAGTTGATAGTATATATGCAGTGATACAGCCGTACTATGGTGCAACAAGAAGCACTTCTGACGACGTTGCGACACTAGTTGGGAACGGAACCTACCAGCACTAGGGCTGTGCTCCAATCTTTGCCTGTCCGCCCATAAAGGGTCGCAGCACCTCTGGTATCGTCACAGTGCGCTCCTGTTCGTTCCAGTGGTTCTCCAGGATCGCTGCGAGCACCCGTGGCACAGCAAGGGCAGTTCCGTTGACCGTGTAGGGAAACTCCAGCTTGCCCTTGACGCGCACTCGCGTTTGCAGCCGACGGCTCTGGTAATCCGTGCACATTGAAGTTGACGTCACCTCACCCCAGCCTTGGTCCTTTTCTCGTCGTGAGGGGAAGAAGGCTTCAATGTCCAGCTTCCTCGTAGCACTCGCCCCGAGATCTGTAGTCGGCATCTCTAAGATGCGACATTGCAGCCCCAGCGCTTCCAATATCTCCTTCTGTATCGTCAGCATTTCGTCAAAGACTGCTTCGGAACTGGATGCTGGCTGGGCAGCAAAGTAGTCTTCGCCCGCGTGGTCAGGTAGTGTCCAAGCAAACATTTCAACCTTTGTAAACTCGTGAACGCGGTACAAGCCTTTGGTGTTGGCGCCTCTTGCCCCCGCTTCAGCGCGATAGCATCTACTGACGCCCACCGTCTTGAGCGGTAGCTCTGCCTGTTCGAACTTGTGGTTTGCATACATGCCCGCGAGCGGTATCTCGGCCGTGCCAGCAAGGGCTAACTGGGGCTTTGCTTTGTCTTTTTCAGACTGCTCAATGGCATAGATCTGCTGCTCTCCGTTCTGGTCCCGCGGCTGGAACCCGCATGCGGCTGCAATGTGCGAGTAGACAATTGAAGGAGGTGCCACTGCTTTCCACCCTTTGTTCCGCGCGACGCTCAGAGCATATTGTACCAGGGCCTGTTCCAGCATTGCTCCATCTCCCACAAGAAAGTACCAGCCCCATCCTGACGTTTGCGACGAGCCCGTGAAGTCGAGGATGCCCAGTTCTTGTCCAATGTCTACGTGTGACTTTCGAGACTGGGATTGTAGCGGCTCGCTCTCAGATTGTGCATTGATGTATCCGACTACTTCAAAATCGGCGCCGACTGGAGTGTGTGTACTGCTCAAGTTAGGAAGGTCCTGCGCCAGAGCTTCAATCTCATCCTGTATCTGCGTTTCCTGGGCTTCAATAGAGCTCAATTCCTCTTTGAGAGCTTTTGCATCCGCAATTGTTCCTTTCTGCAAGGCAGCAGACTGCCCATCGCCGTTCTTGGCCTGCACCGCTGCCCTTGCAAGTTTGGCTCGCAGCTGGTTGTTGCGCTCCCGCAAGTTACGACTGCTCTGCTGCAGGGCAAGCCACTGGTCGTGTAGTTCTATGATGCGCCATGGTGATTTGCTATGCGCACCATAGTTGCGATCTATACAATTCTGCTCGTAGAGGCCTGGGTTCTGTCTGATGTGCTTAATGTCGATTGTAGGCTTGGGGGCGAATGCGGGTTGGGCGTAATTTCTGCAGGATGACAAC